GCAGTGAGCACCTGCGTTAGCCGGAAAGTGAGGCGTCTTCTTTCACGATTCACCCAATCCACAAGGACCGGGCAAATCGCCTCGACGGTCCTACGACCAGCCGAAGGATCAGCCAGCCGTCTGGACCATGACTCCAGCACGGACCGCCGAGATTGGGCCCTCCGCGCTCTGACCACACTGGGGCTAGGACCTCTTGTGAGTCCGCACGGGTAGGTACCACCGCCCCGCCTATATCTGCCGTGAAGCAGTAATGCGTTTCAGTTTGAAGGGTGGGGCAGCCGTTGTGACTATATTGAGACCTTACAACTTATATCTCAAGGTGTGTGGCGTTGTAGATGTCTATGGACTCCCAGTAACCACTTAACACCAGGTGGGCTGTGAGCTCGTCCACACATCTAAGCAATAAAAAAATTAAAAAACTTATATTGATGCAGGTTCATTTTTGAGCAAGGTTACATTATTTTTAGACTCTCGTTCGTAATAATACATTAAAAAGCATAAAAGCAAGTCGTTTGCGTTTGAAAGAATATAAAAAAAAAAGACAAAACAAAATAATAATAATAATTAATTCCAGACGCATATTGTTTTATTTGTTTACATTCATAATTTATAGTCTATTTTAATATTTATTTATTCTTTACACAACTGGGTCGAATTGACCTTCGCTACAAGTCACACCTACTAATTGTCAATTGTGAATTCAAAAGCTTTCATTTAGTTTATATGGGTTAAAGCTGAATTGACCGCATTGTTCTTAATAGAATACCTTTTGCGACAACATTTGTCTCTTTGATAAACTTTGATGGTCAATAAGTTTTGTTTTTATTATCTACCAACAATAAGATTGTTTTTTTTTTTTTAAATCCTACCTAAGCTGAGAGCCTTGAGAGGCTATTTCAGCGTAACCTTAACTAGTAGGTGAGCTCACGGGGCTCAAACCTGACGACGTTGCTAACACGAACCCTAGCAAGAGCCGCGCTTCGCAGAATCTACCACCGCATCGGAAACACAACCCACTGAGAAGATCCGGCGAGAAACTCGGTGGGCTGTGTCTGAGGGTTAATTTACTCGTCGAGCCCTTCGTCGCAAGCGATAGGATCGACAAGAACGATGACCGGTGCTTGAGGTACATAACAGCACCGTTAGTGAATCGGGAGGATCCGAAATGACGTGTAAGATTGTGGTGGGTATTTGTTAAATATGCTTTTATTAGCTCGACCTGTATTGAAACACATTTTTTACCTATCTAATCGTTGGTAGCCTTAGGTGCTATTCAAATTTCGCGCGAACCATACAAAGTTCAATATTTCGACAAAATTTTCACCAACTTCCAAACATTCTATTAACTTGAAAATTAATACCCGTATCGAAGTCCAATGACTAGCCTGGTCAGGACCACTAATATAATAAAAAAATAATGACTTGAGAGATGAGATGGTCTGGACATGTGATGAGACGAAATGACAATGAGGTTGTTGAGAGAGTTTTAACTATGAACGTGAAAGGCTTTAGAGGAAGAGGTAGACCTAAAAAAAAATGGATGAATTTCGTGAAAGACGATATGTGTAAGATCTCCTCTTACACATATCGTCGTGAGCAAAGAAATGGTATATGATAAAGGAGTATGGAAAGAGAAAACATGTTGCGCCGATCCCAGGTGACTGGGAGAATGGCAGGAGAATGATGATGATGAAGGACTAAAGTGTTTTTTTAAACTACATGTATAATAAATACTAATTATTGTTTACTACTTGCGTTTAAGAAGTTTCTATGTGGGTCATTCGAAGTGGATACCGTGAAAAACAGCAAGACCTAATGTTCACTGGCTTCAGAACGTTCAATTAATTTGAATCTTTGCACAAGTATCAGGGTTTTTTGATGACAATACGATAATTTTAATTCGGTTTGCAATAAAGCTGTAGTTTTTTTTTTAAATATTAATCTATACATATATATTTTTTTTGTTTTCAGAGCGCATTTTTTATTCATATTTCATGGTCATTCCCAAATGATAAACTAGCGTCGCTCTGTTAGAAATTTAGAGGTATCGTATTTTCTGTACACTTTTAGTTATTATACTTTGTGCATTTTGCACCATAGTCTCTTAAACAGCTAAACCGGTTTCGTTTGATGTTAAGATGTAATAATCCAAGATCATTTAGCATGTTAAGAGCACTCTCGAAAGGTACCATCAGCACCAACAGTATTCTGAAGCAAACAGTTGCTATTCTTAAAAAAAAAAATGTTTTTAGCTCAGCGTGCTTATAAAATGTTTTTTTAATTTAAATTATTTAAACTATATTTTATTAGTATTATTAATATCAGTTTCCTGAGTAACTGAGGAAGGAAATTTCAACTAGATATAGTGTAATACTGTGGTATTTTAATTAATTTATGTTAAATTGCAACCTATTCAATAATACTGTTTTAAGTATATTATATAAAGTATAAAAATAATAATGTAAATAATTCCATAAGTTATTGCATTTAAAGTGGTCTAAGACAAGTTAAATTCTTCGCATATGACTTTGGAGAGGCACACTTTATTAGTTACAATGGTTTAAAGTGGTCTTTGATACATCATATTAGATTATTATTTGTAGGGTGGCATGATTGAATGTTCCCAATTTAACTAAAGGAGGCACTATACGGTTGAATTGTGAAAAAAATTATGTCTATCCAGATTCATCATCATTCTTCCTTATCAATAATGATTCCTTTATTGTTTCCTACAGCAAATATAAATTATTAATTCATAAAATTGGAAAATATTAGCACAATGTTGAAAAAACAATCATAAAAGTTATAGTGGCCAATGTTATGTAAAAAAAAAATGTTAGAAGAGACATAAAATAAAAAAATTAAGCACTAAATAAATAAAAATTCATTTGTAACATCTTCAAGTTGTTTTATTTGAATAATTCTTTTCACAAAAAAAATACCTCACATTTCATTTGTTCTACATTTATTTTAAATACTTTATATTCATTGTACTAAAAAACTACAAATATATTTTTGTTGAAACATAAAAATTGTATTTATTTTTGCTACATATAAGGCAAAAGGAAGAGAGGCCGCCCCAGAAAAACTTGGCGTCGCTCGGTGGAGCAGGAGCTAGGGGTCTTGGGCATGACGTAGGAGGAGCTAGAACAGACTGCCCAAGATATAAATGGAAAAATTTTATTCGAGCCCTACACCCCAGTAGAGGGTAATAGGAAAGAATGATGACATATAAATTATTTTATGAACTAATAAGTAAATATTTTACCTCATTTTATAACTGTATTATTTAGTTTTAGCTTTTTGAGCGACTGGCAAACACATTGGCATAGAAAACTGTTGATAATTAAAATATATGAAGAATAAAACAAAATGGCAGAATGAGAAAACGGAAATGAGCAATGCAGGCAAATCTGGATATGAAACCGGTGGAGGGATGAATACCGCGGCCACTATCAACCATATCATACAAATGAATGAAAAAAAGAAATTCGTGCTCAGTAGTGTCATTAGTACTGAGTTTTCATGTTGATGTGGCCGTACTATCTTGTCAATTCTATTCGCACTGAAAAATGATAGAAAATCACTATTCGGATGAGCTAATTTCACACATATGCTGTAGAAACAAATGTAAATAACATTTGTACATATGAAAGGTATGAGTAAACCATCTTTCAGGAATAATGGCAGCATACTGAAGGTAGATATGAGTAGGAACCAAAAGCACATGAAGGGATCTTCAGGAAGATGCAAAGCTACAGGTATAGCCACCAATAATATTGTTTTCTCGTGAACTTGAAACGAAAATATAAAGAACGCTAGTGAAACATTTATGAGGCAAAGTACAAATTTTTTTTTGTTGATTCTTAAAAATAAATCGATACATGACGGTAGAGCAGCTGCTGCAGTTGCTACCAGGCACATTCTAGCCATCTCCTCATTTGTGTACACGTCTTTTAATTTTACAAAAACATTTACAAAGCACCATATATTAGAAACTTTATCCTCGAATACTCCTCTTTTGATTGGAAATAACCTATGTACAAGCTGAGATATATTATCCCAAGACTTGGTGAAGGGATACCATATAATAATAAAACAAGATATTACAGCAACTGCTAATTTGTTAAATTTGTGAACAATATGAGAAAATTTACTACGTGGAGGTATTCCAATAAAACACTTTCTAAGCAAATAAATGAAAAAGGGTAATGCATGATACAATTCCATCTGTTTATAATTCAGAGCAAAAACGAAGAATATTGTCGCTAACACGTCATTCTCAATGGCTATTATGAAGAAAGTGGCCCACAAAAACAAACCTAGTGACACACAATTGTATTGAAAGTGACCGTGATCGATAAGAATTAAACCGGGGTACAATAAAAACAAGATAGTTGATAGATCAGTCCTCTTGAACACCCATTTTGTTTCTTTAGCTCTCACACGTTCCGCATCTATGCATATACATAGGACTGCTGTCGCATAGAAATACAAATCACTCAGGAATACCGTCCAGCGCATGAATGTTTTGTGAGAGTTATCTTCGTAGCCTCTTGACGCGAAGAGCCTCACGGATTCCGGATCCAGCCAGTCCGCAACGAGGCCCATCAACAAGCTATGATACGCCGATAACGGAGGATAGTCCATGCCCCAATATTCAAGGTCATTTTGCGTCGTGTTATGATACCACGTTGTTACCGGTGTGTGAACAGTAATCTCTTGCCAATGTCTCTGAGCTTCGAAGTCTCCATACATCGGTGGTTTACGATATCCAGAATACGGATATGCGGCAACACACCAACGAACAAGTAATGCGAAAAATATACCCGGCAAAAGCGCATCTTTTGTTACCGTAAACCTATCTGGATCGGCTCTTTTCGTCATTGTCACGTGTGATTGATTTTTTTCACGTTTTTAAATGATTTACATTCAAATCTGATAAATTACAACGCGGCAAACGCAAAAAGTCAATACATATTTTGACAGATCGTACTTACGACGTGAACGGCGTCCAGTTCCTGGGTCAGCTTCTCCTTTAAATATTTCTCCGTATACACCATATTCATTAATAAAAATCCATGCACCGAGCAGTAAAATCGGACACAACTTACACCAATTAAACTGCACCTCTCACTAAAATTTACTACGCACAGAAACGGGTTTGATTCACACGACTATTGGACTTTTTCGAAAGTGAGAAAACGAGAAAGCAGCTCACGAAAGTGAAATTGCGGTCGCTGAACTAACGAATTTCACACCGGATAAGCAGTGGGTAAGAAGGTAGAAATGGTAGAATCAAAATTCTGTCGACTAATTTGATCTATTTTCTGTCAGAAAAAAATTGAATGAACACTTAACATGGTAGCACTGACCTTGACCAGTTTACTACATTATTACTTTATTACTACATACTATGATATTGTAAATCATGCAGATAAGAAATTATTAGCAGCATTTATATGTGTAGTATTTAGGATAAGAACTTTCCGATATGTTCAATTTAAAATCTGTGTTTTAATTATTGAAAATTTGTAATTTTGCTCAGGAAATCAATCGTCAGTTATAATAAAAAATCAGGTCATACGACAGCAGAACAATACACTAGTACATAATTATATGGTAATATATATATATGCCTTGAATGTCACTATTAAAGTCCTAAGTAGGTAAGATGAATAACACCCTCCTCGGTGTTTTACCTTCACTTAGAATCAAGTGACTCTGATCTACAATCGAAAATAGCAATAATGGTAAAATATATTTTTACACCTGCTCGCTTTACATAATTTAAAAACAATTAGCGAGGCATATCAAAATTCAACATGCTCAAGTCGATTATCTCGACTATTGAACATCTCAACAAATCTCAATAAATCGACTTAGAGTCGATCACCTATTACAATTTCAATATCTTGAACTTTCGTCTTGAATCGACAGTCGCGAGTTCGTGATATTTAAAACCGTTTAATCAAAGTATATTTTAATCACTACGTTACATCAAAATAATCTATCTCACGGGCAAATCGATCGAATCCAAACAATCAAAAATCATCTCGATTAGTAAGTCGAGAAGTGAGGCTATCGTATACTCGATTATAATTCTGGCACGAATACGATTCTTTCTAGGGTTGTATCATCTCGACTCGCCAATCACTATTCAAATAAGATTCCGAAATTATGGTTATGCAATGCACCTACATGTACACTGATACAGTTAATATAGTTACAATACGTGTAAATTTTTTCGTATTCTCGTTCCGACATCAGACTGCATTATTTAATGAGTTTGCACTATCTGTCGGGGTGTTTGAATGTCTGGATGTCGTGATTCGTGGTCACTGGTGTCGGATAATAGAGATAGGCTCATCATTTTTGCTTTAGCGGAAATTGTACAAAAGTGACGACAGAGAAAGTTTACGGCAAGGTAACAGAAAGAAACAATTTCCAAATTAGTACTGACGTTTATTATGCGCTCAGAGTTTGGAAATTAAACAATTTAAAAATAATTCCGGTTCAATCATTAAAACAGTTTATCCTCTACTAATACTTAATTTAATACTCTTACTATATTAAATTTTTCAACTGATATTCACGACACTTTAAAATACTATTATGTAACAGTTAAATAATCAGCAATTTAAGTCGCACTCTTTGTCTTTTAAACCCGATCCAGACGACCAAACCACAAAATCATCAAGTCAAAATGACAAGTCATCGTCGCCCGTAGCAGGTCATATCGGATCCTCCCGATCCACGTTTGGTGCTTTTAGGTAGGTATTTAAAACATCGGTCATCATTCTCGTCGAACCCGTCGAATGCGAAAAAGGATTCGTCATATAAACGAATATTTTTTAAGTAGCAAGTTTATAGATAGGGAGGTAGGGACTATAAAGTTTGTATTTCATGATAGACTAAGAAGGGAGGATCTTCATACAAGTGGGTATCTTTGTATTTACAAATGTAAAATTGATTTGAAAACCTATAAAATATTTGTTAAAATGTCTCAGTAGTTAGAGTTTTTAGTCGAACCCAAAAATTCAAGTCCAACGTTTTTTTCGTTTGCCAAAATTATGCTTTCACAGATGCTAAAGGTTAATGAGATACACCGAAATAACCAAATAAAAAAATCACTATTCCGTCACTTCCATTTTTGTAAAAAAATCACATATTTTTATTGACAGTGCTGAAAAATATATAAAATAAACAGCAAACATAGATATTGTTGACCATTGCATATTATGATGTAGTTTGGTTGGATATAAAAGACCGCACTTTACGACAATTACGGTTCATATATAAATGCTTCCCCACACTATGCTTCCTAAAGGCAATGACTTTAATGGCGGGAAATTTAAATTAAAAAGTTAAGCCGCCGCACTACAAATTTTAGAATTGTGCCAGGTTAGGGATACCAATTTTTATGTTATATATATTATGTAATATTTCTCAATTTTCGAATGGAGGTTTAGTTTTTTATGTTGGCTAGGCTGATAAGCTGTTAAGAGAAAATAAAATATGTGAGTGCGAGTGAAGATGGGAAAGCCGATGCGGACGAATGTCAAATCAGTTTTTGGCGGGAACACGACAAGTTGAGTTATAAGTTAATTATTGTATGGGTAGGTATGGATGTAATTCATTATTCTCGTCTTGCGCCTAACCCATATTCATTATGATATTCTTCGACTATACTGTGCATCAGTCCTTAGCGCATAGAAAGCAAATAAGCAGTAAAATTTAGAGAACGGTGATTAATGTTCTTCTTGTGAATTTAGAAAAAATATATGCGATATTCGCTTTTTAGAAATCACAATCGCGGTCCAACTTGAGACCTGACGAATTTCCTACCCTTAAAACCGGACGGCATAACGGGTTAGCTTAAAGCATAAGGATAATAAAGCATAAGCATATAGCATAAGCATAAACAAGCAGGATAGTGGTCCACGTGCAGACTTATTGTACGCTGTACACCCTATTACTAGTACATTAAGGACTGCTTTGCTCTGCTTTCTGTATAACAACAAAACACAATATTAATGTATGTGAATTATTAATTAACATTAAATAAATTAAGTGACGCCATACTTTATGGATTCCATTGACGACTTGAGAAAGAGTATGTAATCGAAAACGTCATCTTGGATCAAAAATAAAATTTGACAATTAAAGCAAGCTCAAAAACGATTATTTAAATTCGATTTTCTCATATATTTACTGTGAATTCTGATTTAAAATGAAGATGGAAGGTGAGGCGACCGCACTGAAAAGAACCTTAGCCGAGTGGAAATTCAGTCAATATCCTAAGTACATTTTACTGCCAATCGATGAAAATAACGAACAAATTTCATCGAATGTTAAGAACGTCGTGTTCTCTGAGGTACATAGCGTTCGTATTGAAGACTAATTAGTAGAAACATGACCATGATCCATTAAATTCCCTGATCCATTAACCGTGCTTTTAGGCACCACAAGCACCGGTCACCGTCCTCGAGCGAACTAACCCATAGGCACAGCCCACTGAGTTTTTCGCTGGATCTTCTCAGTGGGTCGCGTTTCCGATTCGGTGGTAGATTCTGCGAAGCACTGCTCTTGCTAGGGTCAGTTTTAGCAACTCTCCGGTTTGAGCCCCGTGAGCGCACCTACAAACGTTAGGGCGAAGCTGAAATAGCCTCTCAAAGCTATCATATTAAAATCATAAAAAAAAAAACTTGACGTAAGCCCGGGCGTATGGTATCCGCCCCCACCGAGCCGAACCCTCGAGATTCCCCCACCCGTCCTGATAACGCTGGAAATACCCCTGTTCTATCAGCAATCCAACATCATTCCAAAAAACGTATCCATATTTGGCTTCGTCATCTTCAGCATTTATAAACCGCCGATCACTTTACCGATACTTCGTCTTCTTTTAACGCTTGCCAAAGAGATCTTTCGGAAGATTGTTTTTTTTTATTGCTTATATGGGTGGACGAGCTCACAGCCCACCTGGTGTTAAGTGGTTACTGGAGCCCATAGACATCTACAATGTAAATGCGTCACCCACCTTGAGATATAAATTCTAAGGTCTCAAGTATAGTTACAACGGCTGCCCCACCCTTCAAACCGAAACGCATTACTCCTTCACGGCAGAAATAGGCAGGGCGGTGGTACCTACCCTCGCGGACTCACAAGAGGTCCTACCACCAGTAAAAAAAGTATTTGATTTTAAGCTTATCGGTTTTGTTCAGCTGGAAGTTGTCACTGTAACCCACATGAGTAGTGTCTCAAAATACGGAACATAGTTCCGGTTGTTAAATTCATTATACAACATTTTACAGTCTGTGTGCTTAGTGCGAGTTTGTTAACGTTTTCGATAGCGTAAAAGTTAACCCAACTTTGTATGCAGTTGGAACAGCGCCCCTAGCGGCAAACGTACGCAAATGTTCCCATTCCATACAAATATGAATGAGCTAACTTTTACGCTATCGAAAACGTTAAAAAACTCACACTAAGCACGCAGGAGAAGACTTCATGGTATGGTGGCGGTTACTCAGTTAAAATTATTTAATTATTTGTTGTATTGTGTGTCTTTATTAAATTTAATTTTATATTAGTAGTTGACAATTTTAATTTTAATAATTTTGATTCGGTTACATTTGATTTGGTTTCATTTTTGTTTTTAATAATTCTGATAAATTGTAATTTTAATTTTATGGGCTTAATTTGCCTGAAGTAAACGCATTTCATTTCATCTTAATTTCATTACAATAATATATCACGGATTATAATAAGATAAAATATTGTATGAACGTTTTGATTCAGGCTACTCCGATTCCACTGGAAAATAACGTTAGACTCGTGTGTGTCTCTGTAGATGCACTCGCTAACATTTTAGACATGGATCCGGATGTATCGAATCGAGAGGAATTCGTGGAGTTTGTATCCGGCAGGAAACTTCCTTACGGCGCTTTGCCTATTGCACATCGGTAAATGTTTTCTGCTCACCACATTAATATAAACAAATTCGCAAAAGTCTAACAGAAAAAAAACAGCCACTAGAGCAATAAAATCTGAAGTCTGAAGTCGTCGTGGCCTAAAGGATAAGACGTCCGGTGCATTCGTATGTAGCGATGCACCGGTGTTCGAATCCCGCAGCCGGGTAAAAAAATTTCTAATAAAATACGTACTTAACAAATGTTCACGATTGGATTCCAGGACGAAGGAATAACATCGTGTAATAAAAATCAAACCCGAATTATAATTTGCGTAATTACTGGTGGTAGGAGCTCTTGTGAGTCCGCACGGGTAGGTACCACCACCCTGCCTATTTCTGCCCTGAAGCAGTAATGCGTTTCGGTTTGAAAGGCGGGGCAGCCGTTGTAACTATACTGAGACCTTAGAACTCTTATCTCAAGGTGGGTGGCGGAATTTACGTTCTAGATGTCCATAGGCTCCGGTAACCACTTAACACCCGGTGGCTCGTCCACCCATCTAAACAATAAAAAAATATAAATAGGTATATTAAATACAATTTACGGTTCAATCTCGGCTTTTTTAATTGTGTTATACTCGTATTATTTTCTATGCTACGAATACTTACAGCCTATATGGTCCACGGGCATCACGGATTATGTCTATGACTCGTGAAAACCGAACAAAATATACTAAAATAATATTTATCTAGATGCGTAGTTTCCAAAGTGGTCCGTGGGGACCCGAAGGAGTCCAGCACTACGGTCAACACGATATAATAACATAATAGTGCTACGCGCTAGGGTTCGGGATAAATAAAATTCTACCAAAGTACAACTAAAAAAAACTGTATTCAACACTTAAAACACTTTGAAACACTCAACAAACACTTTAAAACTCTCAATTCTCTTGTTCCGCTTCGCTTCAGATGATCCGTTCGCGGTTTCGCTTCGACTAGTTCCGATTATTGACGACTGCGTGCCATCTCTACAACGCTTTTATAGCCGATACCTCATCCCTAGCATTATCGAGAATATTCCACACACACCTCTAGTAGTGGTTTCCGCTATCTGTCAATAGATGGCGTTGTACTTCTCGAGCGTTCTAGGTGCTTCTAGGTCCTTCGATATTCGTTCGACTATTCGGCGATAGATGGCGTTACTGTTACCGGCGTAACAATAGTATATACACATATAACATAATAGTAACATAATAAGTTTGTTGTATATTTTAGTATTTTGTCCGGTATTCTCGTTAAGTGGACATAATTTAAAATATTGTTACGGTAGGTAATACTTTAGTTTTACGTTACCTATTTCGCTACATTTTAGTTTTGTAAAAATTATCGGTATGTTAATCTATATACATACATATGTACGTTTTCAGTTATGGAGGTCATCAATATGGTCTATGGGCTGGTCAACTCGGAGACGGGCGGGCTCATATCATCGGAGAATATGTTAATAGGTGAGCATACATGATAAAACATTCAAATTTTTTTTTTAACTTTTGCCTTTTATTCCCCGCCTTGATTTGTAAGCATTGACCACGCACGGGTGGATGAGTCTTGGGTATTAGCCTTATAAAACAATGCAATGTATTTTATTCACAGGCATATGGAATTCAAGCATGAAATATTGTACATTAGATACTGAGCTAATAGACAATGCGATTAAGCTATGTAATTTTGCGTTCACGTATTTACTGAAGGTATCAAAAGCGAACGCGGACGATCTCCAACACGATGGACCGACCTCATAAAATCTTTGACTCACTCCAACATATATGATTGCTCTCACTCTGCGAAACACCGTGCCACATGGCGTCGCATCGCGAGAGCATCGGTATCGCAGGATCCGACTGATGCATGACCACGACCACTCTGTCAAGAGTGTGCGACTGGGAAGAAGAATGAAAAGCGAATTCTTTCTCCAGCCGTGATCTTTGTCATCATAATGTAGTGCCATCTTACTAGTGGTAGGACCTCTTGTGAGTCCAGACGGGTAGGTACCACCGCCTTGCCTGTTTCTGCCGTGAAGCAGTGAGGCGTTTCGGTTTGGGGCAGCCGTTGTAACTATACTGAGACCTTAGAACTTATATCTCAAGGTGGGTGGCGCATTTACGTTGTAGATGTCTATGAGCTCCACTAACCACTTAGCATCTGGTGGGCTGTGAGCTCGTCCACTCATCTAAGCAATAAAAAAAATCATCCTCTCTTCGGCTACTCTGCAAGCATTGCGGCCGCTGGAATCTAGGCTGGGTTGCATCCGCTCATACCAAGCGGTGGGAGCGTCTCGAAATCTGCCTATATCTAAGAAAGCTGATTTATCTTCTTAGTCGTTTGCACTTTGGGCAGAGTGGTCACGGTCATTAGTTCGGGTGGTGATGCGCTTCGTCGCCATTTCTCGCGTACCGCGGCCTTTCTTGGGTACTCGTTGACGGGACCTACTAATCTATACTAATATTATAAAGCTGAAGAGTTTGTTTGTTTGAACGCGCTAATCTCAAGAACTACTGGTCCGATTTGAAAAATTCAGTGTTAAATAGTCCATTTATTGAGGAAGGCTATAGACTATATAACATCACGCTAAGACCAATACAAGCGGAGCACTAAGAAAGAATGTTTCAAAATCGAGGTTTATTTCCCTTTTGAGAGCTTCCGCTGCGTGCGCTGCAAAAGCGGTTAAAGCTTCGCTAAAATAATGTATGACAGAATTGTTCCCCTTTAAAAGATCTAAAAAAAAGTCCGCGATAGCATATGTCTATATGTTAAGGTTGACTCACTATAGCGTGTTTTTTATGCTAACCAAATTTGTTCTAAAATAAAGCATTATTTGTGAACTATTCCACGCGGACGAAGTCGCAGGCAAAAGCTAGTTACTTATAAGCTAATTAAGAAGTCCTCAACTACAAGACGTAGATGCGGTTTGTATTTTTGTTCAGTCGCAATGAGAGATGGCAACTGCAGCTGAAAGGGTCAGGTCCGACGCCGTACTCCCGGATGCGTGACGGTCGCTTGGTGTTACGTGCGGCCATCAGGGAAATGGTGGTCAGTGAAGCCTGCCACTATCTGGGCGTGCCCACAACACGAGCGGCCGCTGTCATCGGTAAGATGGTTGGATAAACCACGCTTTATTTCTACAAAAAATAATTTTTCCTTACACTATTTTTAATTCAAATTTATTTTCCATTTTTTAGTTGAATTTAAATTTTTTCAATATATTTTTTTCAATTTTTTTTTATATATTGAATTGTTATCGGTCCTTAATAAGTATACCAAATTTCGAGTTAATCCGACATTTTGAAGAGGCTCAAAATCATGTTCAAAGATTCCGTTACATACATACGTATGAAGCTAATAAAAGCGTATTAAAATACTGGTGATACCAAATGTTTACACGCGTATTAACTCAATTTTGAATATTTTTGGAAAATTGTAGACTATTAATGCGAAAAGGCGATTATTCGGTAGACAGCGGCTTGGCTCTACCCTTGGCATTGCTGAAGTCCATGGGCGACAGTAACCACTCACCATCAGGTGGGCCGTATGCTCGTCTGCCTACAAGGGCAATAAAAAAAAATTGTCGCGTATTCACCCCTCGCTATGATCGTTGCAGTCAGCGATGAGGCCGTAGTCCGGGACATGTATTACTCTGGGTGTCCTCGGCGGGAGAGCGCCGCCGTCGTCCTCAGATTAGCGAAATGCTGGTTCCGTTTTGGGTCCTTGGAAGTTCTGAGTCGCGCCGGAGAGCTGACCGTCTTGAGACAGCTGACCGATTTCATTATCAAAGTAAACATTTTCATTTAAGTACTTTCCACGGTGAAGGAATAATAACATCGTGTAATAAAAATCAAACCCGTAAAATTATAATTTGCGTAATCACTGGCGGTAGGACCTCTTGCGAGTCCGCGCGGGTAGATACCACCGCCCTGCTTATTTCTGCCGTGTAGCAGTAATGCGTTTCGGTTTGAAGGGCGGGACAGCCATTGTAACTATACTTGAGACCTTAGAACTTATATCTCAAGGTGGGTGGCGCATTTTACGTTGTAGATATCTATGGGCTCCAGTAACCACTTAACACCAGATTGGCTGTCCACCTATCTAAGCAATAAATAAAAAACTTAACGAGGGATGAAAGTTTGTTTGGTTTAAACGACATTCCGCTTAACACGCGACATTTATCTTTGTAACTAAAGGTGAGTTTTATTTGGTATTAAGTAGCATCAACAGTTCGATGTTTTTAATTGAACTTCAATTAAGTTCACATATTATTACGCTTTTAGAATACGATGGAAGTGGGATTTGGTTTAAAAAATATCTCAATTAAAATAATTTGAATGAAACAGTATGTCATTCACGACGAGCATTCCTTTAGACAATATCAACATCTGACCTTGTCTGATACACCTACCGACGTAAGCGGACACGGGTCTGATACGACGAACCATTGTCATGTCAATGACACAAACCGTATTGAGATGGAAAGTCGAAGCTAAAAAAGTACCAGAGTAATTGCTGTGTAGCTCTTCAAATCTCAAAACATAGCTTCCTCACGGCAGAAATAGGGAGGGTCGTGGTATATGTCCATGTCTGCTAACAATACCTAACTATACCGGGTTTGGTTTGGACTCTGAACGTTAAGAGGCGATGAGCAGGGTGATCAGTTATTATGGAGGTAAGGAGAACCGTCTCTGTGTGTGAAAAAGTGTCCGTTAAAATCTTCTAAATAAGGGTGGCGCTACAGTAGCAACCGGGTAAATTTAAAAAAAGGCGCTGAAAGTTATTAGATTATGATAGAGAAATAAAAAAGGATGAAAGAACTGTCAGCACTACAAAATCACAAAAAGTATTTTATTTAAAGCTGATAAGAAAATGCAATCGATGTCTCCACGTTTTACCACAGCAATAATTTTAGGTTATATTGACGAAATTAGTTTGGACTACATAAACATGTGAGATCTTGTATATTAAACTGTCACTAACTACTCTAATCAGTAAATGTATTAAATTTCCTAACTCAGCATACTTCCCATTACATCATACCCTGTGCCTATACTAGCGCCATTCTGGAGGATTTTTCAACTGTTATTTAGTGCTGAAAGTGGGGCACTTTTTGAAGTTTTTCCCATATGAGACGGTTCTCCTTACCTCTATTCTCCATATCAGTTATGACCGCAGCCGTAGACCTGGAGAACATCGCTGCAACCGTCCAAATGTTTTCATGTCACTAGTGTTGCCAGCAATCGTGTGACGTCATTGCTCAGGCCCTTGTCTGTGGTTTGATGTTAGTTTTGTTTCAGGAACATTTTCCCGATATCCATTTATCAGACGAGAATCGTTTTATAAGATTGTTCTCTGATATAGCTCACAGAACTCTCGATATGGTGGCTAAATGGCAAGGTGAGGTACCTGAAGTCTCATATCGAGAGTTGAAAAGTTATGTGGCTTAATCGACATTTATCTTTGTAATTAAAGGTACTTTTGATTGGTATTAGTATCAATAGTTCTATGTTTTTTTTATTTTGAACTACAATTAAATTTACTCCATTTAAATAGCTGAAGAAGTATATTTGTTATGATATTTTTTCGACATTTTAAACTTTGAATAGCTCTCCTGTAAAGTTGCAAAAATGTCGCTTAAACCCGATAGCCTTTTACACCTCGATATGAGTGTAATGTAATATATAAGTATAACTACTTTCTTTATATGTGATTCGCGAAAACTTAAGAAAATACCATGATTATAAGATGTTAATAATAGCTATTGAAGTCATGAGAACGCCACTAAGGATGATTTTGAAGATTGATTTTAAAAAAGTTCTGCATGCAATCGAATGTAAATTCGTCAGCAGTTGAGCGGGTCCAATGACCTCTTAAGGCATTTATTTTGATTTAGATTGCGTGTTCACGATTTTTTTTAGGTTTTGAGTTCTAAGTCTTAGTTTTTCAATTTAACGGCTACCCCCACCCTTCAAACCGAAACGCGTTACTGCGTCACGGCAAAATAGGCAAGGTGGTGACACCGCCCAAAAGACGCCCTGCCACCAGAACAATTTATTAGACTTAGCGTTAATAGTAAACTTTTGCATTTTTTCTTGAGATAATCCTTAAATCCAAGCGGTACCTACTTTTTTTTTATTGCTTAGAGTGGTGGACGATCTCACAGCCCACCCGGTGTTAAGTAGCTACTGGAGCCCAAAGACATCTAGAACGTAAATATGCCACCCACCTTGAGATATAAGTTCTAAGGTCTCTAGTTACAACGGCTGCCCCACCCTTCAAACCGAAACGCATTATTGCTTCACGGCAGAAATCGGCAGGGCGGTGTTACCTATCCGCGCGAACTCACAAGAGTCCTACCACCAGTAATAAAATTACACCAGTAAAGTAATACATTGCGGTACAGCCGGTAAATGTCATTGTAATTAGCTGACGTTTCTCATTAAAATACCGTCATTTTCGTATAAAAACCTTCGATCGTAAAAATAAAAATTTCAGGTTTGGGTTTCACGCACGGCTTATTAAATACTGACAACATGAGTATACTTGGGATAACAATGGATTACGGTCCGTTTGGATTCGTTGATTCATACGATAGTGGTTTTGTGGCCAATTGCTCTGACGGTGAAGGAAAATATGCCTTGGCGAAGCAACCTGATGTATGATGATGTGTTACATTTTTTTATTTATTGCTTAGTTGGACGGACAATCTCACGGCCCACCTGGTATTAAGTGGTTACCGGAGCCCATAGTCATCTACAACTTAAATGCCACTGCCCACCTTGAGATATGAGCTCTAAGGTCTCAGTTTACAACGGCTGCTCTACCCCTCAAACCGTAACGCATTACTGCTTCACGACAAAAATAAGCAGGGTACCTACCCGTGCAGACTACCACCAGTTAAGAAATTTGTTTTCCATCACACCGCTTTCAATCCAAACAAGCTGTACCGATAATGTTTGTGTACAAAATAGGTCGTGGTATGGAATATAGGTCAACTAGCGAATGCTTTGAAACCGTTATTGACTTCATCACAACAAGTGCACATGTTGCACATCCTGAAAACCTTGGATACGTACTGCAAGAATAAGATATTGTAAGTTTCTTAATTGGGTAAGGTTATTTTATGTTAACTCATAGGATGGCAATTAGTTATTCTTGGTGGTTTGTTTAACGTTATTTTCCACTGAGTTTCTCCCCGGATCTTCTCAGTGGGTCGCGTTTCCGATCCGGTGGTAGATTCTGCTAAGCACGGCTTTTGCTAGAACCAGTATTAGCAACACCTCCGGTTTGAGCCCCGAGAGTTCACCTACACACTATGGTAACGCTGATATAGCCTCACAAGGCTATCAGAATAGGTATTAAAAAAACCATGGCCAAATACCATGTGAATATGTTTTTGGGGAAAGAGGGATTGTTAGTGGCTCGGGGCCTTTCCAGCATGCGATCGCAATGGAATTCGTAGGTCAGACGTAACGTTCCACGGTATTGGCGGTAACCATCCATACATCATCCTCGATGGTACATGGATAGATGTACCATGTAAGGATGGATGGATGGTACGGGAACTGGGCATCATAGCACAAGGACTGGCACAATTTCCGGGTGCAGCCAAACCGCAGAAACACCTAGAACATCTAGATATTAATTCTCGTTTTTTTTTTTTTTTGTTTTACACGAATAGCCCGGTAAACGATCACAACTTCATCTTAATATTTTTAAATGTTTAGTCTCATGAATAGAACAGTGGTATGCCTCTACGTAGAGAACTTAAAATGCTCTATTCCACATAATCCACTCAAGAGAAACGTTTCTAATGAAGATCGGTTTGAAAGAAGAGCGTTGGGGAGACGAGCAGCTGGTAGAGAAGTTGTTAGACATGATGCAGCAGACTGGGGCCGATTTTACTGCTACGTTCAGGCAACTAGCTGAGGTAAGATGCGAAGCTCAACCGAAGAAAAATATTAACCTCTATTTTCTATGTAGTATTAGCGTAAATATGTGGGTAGTTTGAGATAATTTTTTTCTATTGCTTAGATGGGTGGACGAGCTCACAGCCCACCTGATATTAAGTGGTTACTGGTGCCCATAGACATCTACAACGTAAATGCGCCACCCACCTTGAGATATGAGTTCTAAGGTCTCAGTATAGTTACAGCGGCTGCCCCACCCTTCAAACCGAAACGCATTACTGCTTCGCGGCAGAAACAGGCCTACCCTACTACTAGAGTGGTACCTACCCGTGCGGACTCACAAGAGGTCCTACCACCTAGGAAAAATATTAACCTCTATCTTCTATCTAGTAAGAGCGTAAATGTGTGGGTAGTTTGAGACATTCAGGTTACACTGTTTCTGTTTTATTGTTAGTTGGAACCATCGGAGCTGGTCAGCGAAGTGAAGATATCAGAGAAGTGGTCGCTCAAACGTTTGTCGTCTCACGCTTCGTGGGGCTGCTGGCTCGACCAGTATCGTGAGAGGCTCGACAAGGAAGCTGGTGGGTTTTAAAATCGGAGCTCAAAGTCAGAGGGTCCTAAAAACATTTTCAGTATTTTCATGGGAGATCTGTAATTTCCTTAATTGTTCTTATAGGCAGACGAGCATACGGCCCACCTGATGGTGAATACTTACCGTCGCCCATGGACATCAGTAATGTCAGGGACAGAGCTAAGCTGCTGCCTATCTAGTTTAACTGCTAATATGTATTGGCAGTATTCTATTTATCTTCATATATTAGTATCTCGTCACTGCTTTCTGCCACTGCCACAGTATAGTTCAAACCTACACCGGTGGTGCAACCATGTAAACATTCTGCTGCGAAGCATTCATGTCAACCGAATTAAGGGGTCGCATAGACATTTTAAGCCTCCACCATGAATCAAGCCGACATTGACTTAGAGATGTCTATTAGCTTGGGTAACCACCGTGATCCAGTCACCCTAGGCACTCGAAGTAATGGGAAAAAACCTATACCTACTGTTTTTGTGAATACTGTATTCAATTTATTTCGTCACGATTTAAGTAACTGAAGTAACTTATAATACGCGCTTATTCACAAACACTACACAAGCGCAACGTGTGAACGTGTTGAACGCGAGCTACACGGTAGGCGGAGTGGGGGTGTTAGGTTTTATTTTCGTTACGGAATTTCTTGATTCCGTCGCCGCGCTCAAAGCTCGCGATAAACGCTATGCAATGGCTTAGTATTATTTTATAATAATGAGAGTAAACGTAAAATGGTTGTGCAGTTGACGCGAGCTCAGTTGGAATGTTTGAGGATGAGCGTCGGAGGCGCATGCTGAGCGTCAATCCAATTTACGTTCCTCGCAATTGGATCCTGCACGAAGCTATTGTTGACGCCGAAAAGGATGACTTTGGAAAAGTATAGCCTAACTATCTAAGCACCGAACGCGACGAAGGGTTTGTCGTGCAACTTAACCCACTAAGTTTCACGCCGAATCTTCGCAGTGGGTCGCAATTTCGATCCGGTAGTAGTATCAGCGAAGCACTGTTCTTGCTAGGGCTAGTGTTAAAAAATTCGTCCGGCCGAACTCTGTGAGCTCACCTACACCAAGCGAGCGAACCTAACAATATAACCCCTCGAGGTTACCTATTAGGACAGGTAGGAAAATAATAATTAAATAATAGCAAAATTACTTCCATGGATCGGCCTTTTTTTTTTATTGCCTAGATGTGTGGACGAGCTCACAGCCCACCTGGTGTTAAGTGGTTACTGGAACCCATAGACATCTACAACGTAAATGCGCCACACACCTTGAGATATAAGTTCTAAGGTTTCACTATAGTCACAACGGCTGCCCCACCCTTCAAACCGAAACGCATTACTGCTTCACGGCAGAAATAGGCGGGGTGATGATACCTACCGGTGCGGCCTCACAAGAGGTCCTACCACCAGTAATTACGCAAATTATAATTTTGCGGGTTTGCTTTTTATTACACGATGCTATTCCTTCACCGTGGAAGTCAATCGTGAACATTTGTTAAGTACGTATTTCATTACAAAAATTGGTACCCGCCTGCAGGATTCGAACACCGCTGCATCGCTCAACACGAATGCACCGAACGTCTTATCCTTTAGGCCACGACGAATTCCAAAAATAATTGTAACGTGTACAGACTGTCCCCCCTTTTAACTGAATAATAACTGTTAGAGCTATTTCGGGACACATAAAATGGTAACTACCCGCGTTGGCTTTTAAACAAACAGATTAGATTTAGTAATGCGTTTCAATTTAAAGGGTGGGGTAGCCGTTGTACTGTACTGAGACCTTAGAACTTATATCTCAACGTGGGCGGCGGCATTTACTTTGTAGATGTCTATGGGCTCCGGTAACCACTTCAAACCAGGAGGGCTGTTAGCTCGTCTAGCCGTCTATCCAATAAAAATAATATTTTAGATTTTTTGTTATTTTTGACATTGGAATTATTCTTTTTTTTTCATACCTATTCCTTGGTAGTCTAAGGGGTTATTCCAACTACTTTACGGACCGATAAGTAAGTGAGCCCACGCAGAATCTACCACCGGATCGGATTTTTTCATTAATCTATTTTTTTTAAATTAACATAGAATCATCAAAATTAATTCACACTGTCGAAAGTTTGGAATAACAAACATTTAAAAAAACAGTCGAACTGAGAACCTCCTCATTTTTGAAGTCGGTCGAAAATTGCAACGTATGTTGAAGTATGATTCAAAGATAAAAGTTATGCGTGCGTGCGCTAAGACAAGTCCATACAGATCGAGGCCTAATACCTATAATCAAACTGCTTACTGCAAACTTTTTACTGGTGGTAGGACCTCTTGAGTTCGCACGGGTAGGTACCACCACCCTGCCTATTTCTGCCGTGAAGCAGTAATGCGTTTCTGTTTGAAGGGTGAGGCAGCCGTTGTAACTAAACTTGAGACCTTAGAACTTATATCTCAAGGTGGTTGGCGCATTTACGTTGTAGATGTCTATGGGCTCCAGTAACCACTTAACACCAGGTGGGCTGTGAGCTCGTCCACCCATCTAAGCAATAAAAAAAACTGCGCAATAATCGGTATTTCGACGCTCCGCACTTTATTAATAGAGAGTCGATCTATCGACGGATCGCGCTCAAAGGGTTAAGGTTCTCTGTTTTAATTACATATTCACCTATCTATTTTCGATCAGGTACAGTTCTTGTTGGAAGTGATAAGACGTCCCTACGACATTAACCCAGAGGCTGAATTACGTGGTTTCTCAGCCCAACCACCTCAATGGGCGTACGCTTTGAAGATCAGCTGCTCAACATAGATTACGTGATGTGTGACATTTTTGTCAAATAATATCAAATTATCAATTCAGTGTACATTTTATTGAATTTTATTAGCTTTTCCCTCCAAAAAAATGACTTAAAAAGTTTTATTTCTGTGGAATTAACGATTTAGCATTACATCCACGATAATAGTATATTTAAATTATCCATAGATGGTTGGATGGTAGTCTGGAAGAGATCGCTCTTAGCGATAAGACCGTCTATAGTACTTTATTTTGTATTTAATGTTTCGCAATGTTTCTTTTGTTGGTTTACAATAAAAATACTCTCTCTGTCCCTCCAATTGATCTAGTGCAATGTATGAAATAAACATTAATTTCCTAACAAGTTAACACATATTGAAATAGTTTATTTTTTTTTTGTGCCACCAAACATATTATACCAAAATGTCTGAGAAAAATGTGTACTGATTCTTTCTTTACGAAGCACAATAATGAAAACATTCAAAATTTCAAATAAATATATTTTCTCCACAATTAACTTACAAATAAAACAGATATTTACAATCAACAAACTAAATGGCTTAATTTTTTCAATGATTACCCACAAAAAATCATGAATAATCTTCATCAGCACTGTCATCTGGTTCAGAGTAATCTTCATCATCCATGATTCTTCTTTTTTTACTTACTTGTATATTTTCTTTATCCTCTATAGTTATCTCCTTAGCCTCTGTTTTTGCGGACCGATGATGGAAAACAAAGGAAATACTTTTTGCAACGTCCCAGCATTGCTTCAAGACCATGTCGGCTATGTTTTTCTTGTCTGCACAGTGGTACCAATTGGAAATATCAGACGTGCAATCAGAGTTCTCAGGTGGTAGTGTAACTTGAATATTGTTTACACACCTTTTACATTTAAACTTACTATGAGTGTCCGATAGTGTGTTCTCCTCCAAACGGAATAGATCTTTCAAATCATCTGCTGTGAAATGTCTTAGAGACTCCTCGTTTTGGTCAACCACTGTCTCGCTGAGTGCTTTTTTGTGTGCTTGCCTTTGGAATATTTTTTCTTCAATGGTTCCAGTAGCCAAAAGTCTGTAAATATAGCATGGTTTTTTTTGCCCATCGCGCCATACCCGTGCCATCGCCTGCTCATCATTTGCAGGATTCCAATCAGGGTCAAACATGATTAGCCTGTTGGCTCCAATGAGATTCAAGCCACAACCACCAGCTTTCGAACTTAGCATGAAAATCCACTCTTTGGAGTCTTTATTGTTAAAGTTTTCCACCACCTTGGCTCTCTTTTTTATTGTCATTGAACCATCCAATCTTACATATTGATATGTACGTTTTCGACATAATTTCTCAAATAAATCTAATGTCTGAGTATAATTTGATACGAGCACAATTTTATCATCTGTATTCATTTTAAGATTTGCCAGTATGCAGTCTAAGATCATTAACTTGCCTGAATATTCTGGTCTTACATCTTTTATATCATAGTTACTTGGGAGATAGTCTTTTGCTTTTTCAAAACCTTCTGATCTTTCTATAATCTTTTCATAGATTAAGTCTGGGTGGTTACAGAGCTTCTTCAAAGATGTAATGCTGGACAAAGCACTTAGTGTATTGCTTTTTTCTCCAGTGCCTGTAAACTTGTTACGAATTGCATCAGAGTTTATGAAATTCTTGTAAATTTGAGTCTGTAGTGGAGTCATTTTTACACAAATAACTTGCTCAAATTTAACTGGCAAATATTTAGTTAATAGACCACTAGTTCTTCGGATCATGCACTTGTTCACAATTGAAGTTAATGTTTGCAGGCACTCCTGGGCTTTTTCTCTCTCAGGTTGACTTGCCATTGCATCTTGTCCTTTCAAAATAGGATTTTCATATCTCTTTTTGAACTCATGCGCAGTTCCTAATATTCCTTCATTAACAAAATGTACTAAACTAAAATATTCAGTTAAATCATTCTGGATTGGTGTACCTGAGATTAATATTCTCCTTTTAGCCTTCAAACCCATTAATGCTTGGTATGTCTGATTTTCGCTGTTCTTTAACCTATGCCCTTCATCACACAGGACTAAACCTACTTCAGAAGAGTGCAATATATTTGAGTATATCCTGAAAGTTTCATATGATATGATTAAGACTGGTGTGGCAACTCGAGTCGCAGAATATGTGTTCATAAATTGCTGTAGTTTCAAAGTTACTTCAGCTTTCGAACCCCCATCCATAGCTAAAGCATTTATCCTTTGCGACAGCCACTTATGTATTTCGTTGTACCAATTTTTTACTAAACTACTAGGACATACTATTATGGCTTTACATATTGTTGGTTTACAGTCTGGCCCTTGACGTAGTAAGGTCCACAGTAAAGTTATGCACTGTAAGGTTTTACCTAAGCCCATTTCATCAGCCATTATACATCCATATGCATTTTCTATTTGTTTCCCAGTAACGCAGTCATACATGAACTTTACTCCTTCTCTCTGGTGCGGCCTCAGTATGTTTCCAAGTACTGGATCAACTACAACAGCAACTTTTATGTCATTAGGATTCATTTTCATTCTTTCGTGTTCCGGAATGATCGGAGGGCGTTCGAGGACCAGTGAATTGGGTTCGTCTGGGTCGTGGAGGGCCCTTCTAATTAGCGTTCGTTTTAATCCTAAGCTTTTGCTGCAATACGAGGACACATAGTTTGATATAGGAACTTTAAAGGGCTTACTAAGTATTTGACGGATAATGTTTTCGTGATCTGAAGAAGGCAGAGTTTGAGAAGGAGTTTTCTGTGCTAGCGGTATCCTTGTGCATTCTCGTTTCTTTCGCTTGGCGGAGTCTAGTAATGGACTCTTGAAAACACTCTCTCCAGAGCCTATTTGGCTTGGCGCTCGACTGCGGCGCATCTTATTTTACACGTTACTGCACATATTTGGGAACTTTACTCAATGTTTTCGAACTCAGCAATTTTCGCTATTTAATGTAATCTCCTATTGATTTTTTCACTTTAGTAAGAACGATATTCCTTCATTATTTAACGCAAACAAGATCGGACTTGTTTGCTTTTTGAATTTTTATTTTTTATTAACGTTGACATTTCCAATTGAAACTGTCAAACTCGTAGCAGATAATAAATTAAATTGACGTTAGTTTCATTTTGGACAACGTGTTTTTCAAGGTACCTGATTAATTACTACTTATAAGTTTAATGTTACTAAAATATATTTGTATACACGAGGCTATTCCTGGAAATCCTGTTAAGCCTTTTCTTTTTTTTTCGGGCCGGTGCGGTGGCCGAACCTTCTACGAGGTCCCCGCGGCTAGGGGGAGCGCGGGGTATGTGGGACTTGACGATCTGCAGATGTTGGAAGCAGACTGCGGGCCCCAGGAGTTTTAGTTCTCACCTTCATCCAAAAGATGAAGTGTGACTGCAACTTCAAATATAGATGTATTGATGTAAGCGATCTTGTTCTTAACATTGGCATCAAATTTATAATTGAGCTGCGACCATGACCGCTTTGCGAAGGATTATTGGATGAGCACCATTAAGAATAAACATAAACTATATAGAAAACAATATGTTGTAGGTTTCGTAGAGGTCCATCGCCAATTTTTAACGAGACGCTACATGATGGTAGAAGCCACTAATATCAGTGATTTATTAATTACTAGCTTTTGCCCGCGACTTTGTCCGCGTGGAATAGTTACTTTGGCATAACGCTAAATTTTACCCGCGACTCTATTTACAGTACTCAGGATTGGAACTTTATTAGTGAACCGGTAGATGGCGTTAAAGAAGTTAGATTTTGAGATTTTTTGAACTACCATTTTTTTTATTTTTCGTAAAAAAGAATATATTTTTTCTTAATAAAAAGAATCCTATGTCACTTCTAATACCTCCAAGAATATGTGTACAAAGTTTCATGATGATCGGTTGAACAGTTTTCGCGTGAAAGCGTAACAAACAAACTTACATTCACATTTATATATTAGAAGGGATTTATTATTAGTTGCATTGTAATAAAAGTAAACATTTTATGCGAAAATACTTTATTAAAAAAAAAAACTTGAGACATACCTGTAATTATATGCATCACAGACAATTCTTAAAGTTTAGGATCAAAATTGTTTTCAACACTAATATATAAATTAAGCACATATATGGCTGGTAACATTTTCAGTAAGTCACAGGACATTTTCAAAGTAGGCACGTTTTTTTTTCAAGCAACCCGGCAAATGAATTTAGGCTAATTAAAACAAAAAAAAATTATAATAAGTATAGCATTATTTGCACTAAGTAGATACAGGTAACCTCTCTAATCCTCCCTATAACACAGTACATACGTTTTTACAAATTCCCGTGTTATGTGAAACAGTGTTATATCTATGTATTTTTTTTACCTATCATACATAAAAAAATTATCAGTAAAATTTCGGTTATTTCCTTAAACTGTGTGCTCATAGTGGATAATTTTCTGTTCTAAATAATTTTAAACATAGATTTTGTAATCGTTTTTTAGAAGTGCCATGTTACAAAAGGAGTTACTTGTACAATAGATATTATAGAATGTAAGAAATCCTTCAAAGGTCTAAATCGCGCCAACGATTTCAAAGATAATCTTGCAATACAAACGTCCCGGTCAAGATTCTGAGTTTGCACTATTACGACAAAGACCTGCCAATGAGCGGTTGATGATTCTCGGAAGAACTGTGCAGTCTTATAAATATGATGAAAATTTATAAAGAATGTCAAATTCGTATAATTCTCGACATTACAAGCCCATAGACAACATTTCAATTATTGACATTATAATCGATACCAACGCATTCAGATATTTCCACAAACACTTTTAGGACATATTTTTTAAAGTTACTCATTAATAAATAATAGTTTAAAGACATAAATCTCCAAGGAAATGACAAAAAAACTACACGACAAATATATTGTTCATCTAAAAGAGACTGTTATAAGTTCAAAACAAGTACTTTTACCTGTGACTATACTGCTACCTACACACGCAATGACAAAATAATGACAGAGGATTTGATGGATCTTTGCTATCAAGATGGAAGATCTGTAGGTACAAAAAAAGAGATAGCAAATAACTTTCTTCTGAATTTTTTTTTCACTTTTAATCAGATGTTTTAATAAACTTATAAAAGTAATCCTCTTTGTAGAATATTATTGTAAGTTTCCGATATAAATTTACCATAAATATAGAATGATTGTGAACAAATGTGACATTATCATGAATCGATTTAGAAGATGTCTAGTTTTATGGTAGCACAAACGGATTACTTATAGTTTGTGAGAAAAAGAAAAAGTCGTTTTTAACGAATCAAAAACAAAGTAAAAAAACATTATACTTCATGCAGCATGAAAGACTCACTGAGAACACTGTATCAAAAGATTTTAAATCTTCTAAAGAAAAGTACAAAAAGTTCAAACAAAAAAAATATGTAAAAAATTAACTTCATGGCAACACTGCTCGTCCTGTAGGTGTTGCCGGCGCTCACGATGCGGAATCCCAGTCGTCTGGTCACATATTTCCAGATTATTTTTTAGGCATTCTGATGACTTTGATGTTCGTATCATCATACACACAGTCAGTTCGCGATGGATACACTGACTTCAGGTTACCATCCGGATCGACTATTTTGACCTGGAAAATATACAATTATATTTACTCATTAGTAGAGCCTGGACACACTTCACAGCGACGGTAGCTAAATGTGTGAAAATACCCTTTTTAATTGCCCTTGTAAGGGAGACAAGCATACGGCCCACCTGACCTCTCATGGATCTCGGCACGAGGTGTAATAGCTAAGCCACAAAACAATGCACTTACTAACCACCTATTTCATATTGATGGTAGTTATCAAGCAACATCCATACAAAATTGGAACTCAATCATAAAATATCATAAGTATAGGAATAAATAAAAACAGACAATTTTTTCACAATTAACATTACATGTTAATTAATAATCCCAGGGTGCATTCAAATTAAAATTTCAAATGGATTTCACCTACCCACTTTGATATGAAAAACTGTTCTGTTGGCAACTTTGCAATCAAAATTCAAAATCGGCATTGAAGATATTTCAATTCAATTTCAATTCAATTTCAATTGTTACCTGTTGCACAGTGAGCGCATGAAAACCGTCCTGGGAGTCAGCTCCGATGCCTAGCATCAAACATTCTTGCAATATTTTATCCATCACCATCTTACAGGCTCCGAGTGAAGAATGAGATGTCACCTCTATCAGCATGGCTTTACTTTCTGATGACATCTGTTAAAGGAAAATATAATGTTTTTGTTAATTTTTTCATCTCACTGAAGCTTCTGGAAGCTTATTTCTACAGTGACAGTTTGAATGGGGAGAAACTATTTTTTTTTATTTAGTTTCATTTAGTAGCACAGATTGTGTCTTATAAATGCTTGTCGATGTGAAATTTACATATCTGTGGTAAGAGCTGTTGTTAGATAAGTTTCAATATAGATTGATGGAAACAGGGCATTGTAAGTTACGGCAATTAATTTTTAATAGTGGTAAGCAAGCTACCCATGCTACACCCTTGTCTCATGAACCTGCGCAGGTTGGTATCAGTACCTTGCTATTAATGCTTTGAAGCAGTAATGCATTTGGGTTTGAAGGGTGGAGCATAAAGCTGAGACTTAGAACTCAAGTCTAGAGGTGTGTAGCGGTGTTGTTGATATCGATGTTGATTTTATTTAACAACAATTTTTTTTTATTGCCTTTGTAAGCAGACGAGCATACGGCCCACCATATGGTAGGTGGTCACCGTCGCCCATGGACGTCAGCAATGCCCGGGGGCAAAGCCAAGCCACTGCCTACCATTAAGTACTCTCCGCAAGCCTCGTTTGAAGAAGGACATGTCATAGCGCTCGGAAAACACCATGGAGGGGAGTTCATTCCAAAGCCGGAAATAAACAAATAGGCCGTGAACTTGTTCACACATCTAAGCATGATGTTTTGTGTTTGTTATTGAGTAGAGCCAAGATTCACTAGCCCTACTATAACTACAATATTATAAATATAAAAGAATTTGAGGATTAGTATTAGATCATGCCAAAAGTACGCGATGATTAAAATTCACAGTAATAGGCTCGTATATAATATTGTAAGAAAAAAAGTCTTTTTTTTTTGCTTATATGAGTGGACGAGCTCATAGCACACCTGGTGTGAAGTGGTTACTGAAGCCCCTAGACATCTACAACGTAAATGCGCCACCCACCTTGAGATATAGGTTCTAAGGTCTCAAGTATAGTTACAGTTACAACGGCTGCCCTGCCCTTCAAACCGAAACGCATGACTACTTCACGGCAGAAATAGGCAGGGTGGTGGTACCTACCTGTACGGACTCACAAGAGGTCCTACCACCAGTAAATGAACAATAAGTGTGAGTAGAGTCAAGAAATTTATGTATTTCAATTAACAATTTACAACTTCAATTTCCAATTTACAATTAACCAGCTATTGTGAATGATATTCATTAATGGTACATAAAAAAATTATGTGAACTTCATTTACCTGCTAATTCCTTTATATGGCCTTATCTAGTCACTTGGAAATGCATTATTATATCAAAACCAGGTAAAAAAATTATAATACGATTTCGAAAACTAATAACAGCTACTACTCAGCAAGATTGCAATTGCTTAAAACTTTCATATCTTTATTGAAAATAATGTGTAAATTTTGTTAGGAACAAAGTTCTAGAATATGCTTAAAGTAGACCAAAAATTTCTTTAGCTTTTGCATAATGTGTTAATGGCAAACTATTATTAATTCAAAAGTTTCTTAAGTTCATTGTACCTTCGTTACGTCAGCATTGGTGATAGGTGGGAAGCTGATTACTCTACCGGATGAGTCTTGGAGGCAAGCATAGACTGCTTTGCCTTCCAACAGGTACAGGTACCTATGTAAATATTAAAGTTATCAGTTCCATGAAAGAATACAATATTAAACATGCAATTTATAATACAAACAATTTTAAAATTTTATACTATAGTATATTAGAGAATTACAATTAATCTTACTTATGGATCCCCGAGTAAACATTTCTCTTTTTCTCCTTCCTGAGTGCTTCCGCTTCTGCTACTAACTGCTGGACTAGTTGTTCTCCGGTGTAGGGTTTTGTCCTCATTAACGGAATAAGGCTTAGCATTGACGGAGGCTTTGCTGTGTACACAAGATCACCTGGCAAAGGTAAATACTATGTAGAGTATGGTAATACATTTTTTGGTAAATTACTAGTTGATGAAACCATAACAATAACTATTGCTTTCAAATTGTTTATAATTTAGTTTATAGCTCGTTTAAGAAGATTTGTAATGGAGGATATTTAAGACATAAATTACTTTAGAAATAATTACAGATAATACGAACCTGGAGGTAATTTGTTAAGGTCATGTGTTGCAATTGTGGCTACATTTCTCTTATCACAGACGGTGTCATGCAGTCTTGTTTGCATTTGTATAAATTTTTTAAACAACATATCCGTGAAATTTAGATCCTTTATTATGCAACAAAGTATATAAGGTCGGACACTGCCAACCTGAGACTCAACAATTTTAACGTTCAATACATCATCAGAGACATGTAAAATCTTCATTGAGTTACACAATTCAGCTTCCACACTTTCTGTATGAGGTTCTTCTTTCTTTCCTTTTTTTGTTTTGGATTTGGATGACTGTTGAGTTTGTTCTGTTTTGGGGCAGTGATCGCGGATGTAGTCCATAATTTGTTTGGTGCGACACTGATCAACCAGTTTCATGAACCGCTTGTCTGATAGCTTGTTCCCCTTTAAGTTGAGATCTGTAATACATTATTTTTATTTACTTATCGTTATTTCTTGAAATCTACGTTTTAGAATATATTCACTAGTTGTGGTTTTCAAATAAGATAATTGCTATATTTTATATTTAAATATAGACACACACCACTGTCGTGATATGTTATTTAACACGTGTTTTTTAAGCTGGAATTCACTTTTCATTGCTTACAACAGTTTTACACCAGAATTTACAAATGTTTCATGCAGGTTGAACTAGAACATGTGTTAGGTATTTTAAGAAAATTTGCAGTCTGCGTGATTTGTACCCTAACATATACAAATAGCTCTACTGACTTGGTAGCTTTTAATTGAAAAAAAAAAAAAAAATTAAGTGATGAGAGATGAGATGATTTTTTCAATTGTGTAGGTATATTGCGATTAGTAATAAAATATATACTTTTTACCTTTAATTTTCGATATGTTAGCTACTTCGCCAGGTACAACAGTTATCTGATTGTCGCTGATGTCAAAGTTCTTGAGTGATGAAAGTTTTTGTCCGATACAACTTGGAATAGATTCAATCAAATTACTTTTTAGCTTCAAGTCTGTCAAATGAGGCAAGTTAGCCGATTCCACGTCCAAGAAACTCTTCAGTTTATTATTGGAAATGTCTATTATTATTAAGTTTGGTAAATCGCCAATTTTCGGCATATCTTCTATTTGATTTGAGCTGAAATTGATACTAGTTAGTTCTTTCATGTTGTTCAAGCTCTCTGGGATGCTTTTTAATTCGTTTCTTGATAAATCTAGAACTTTTAACTTTCGAAGTGTGGTTATGTTTTCATTAAAAACTTCAATCTTATTTCCAAACATTAACAAGCTTTGGAGATTAATTAAGTTCTTGATCTCATCTGGTATAGCGTGCAGACATGTATCACTGATGTTCAATAAGTTTATGTTTGTTAAGGTGAAGATATTTTTGTCTAAGCCATGTTCAGAGATTCGTTTCGATATAGCGGCTCCCGCCAACTTAATTTCGTGACGATTCTCCTCTTTTGCGGTCACAACTTCCGGCCAAGCACTCATTTTTATTGAGTAAATTTGTACTTAATTCCAGAATTATTAAATCCAATTATAAAATATAAAAAAAAAACGTGTGCCGAAACGCAGGTAGGAACGTAAATTAAATGTAAAAACCCAAGACGTTTGCTAATACTGCCTACTAGGGATGCAGACTAATCGATCATTCGGAAAATTGATCTGATAAAACAATATCATCGAATTTTTTTAACAGATTTCTACAAAATCGATCTCAACCTAGATTGGATTCTATTTTTGCTCTATTGTCTGTAAGATGTCCCATGGCTTCTTCGAGGAATATAGTATCTAACTAACTAACTAAAATCTAACTATCAAAGCTTTTGTTATTGTTGTAGATTCATTTCGTATTTTTTTCCATCCTATATTTCCCAATAATGAGCAGATTGTATGTTCGAGCTGTTTGTATTTTCATGCATGATTCTCTCTATATATAACTTAAAATAGTATGTAATAACATACGCATTTTTTTCAAATTAATTCGTAAATTGAATCGATTCAATTGCCGAATATTCTAAGCGATTGATCGAATATTATTAATTTTTCCTACCTAAGCTGATGGTTTAGAGAGACCATATCAACGTCACCGGGCTAGTAGGTGAGCTCACGGTGCTCAAACTTAACGATGTTGCTAACACGAACCCTAGCAAAAGCCGTGCTTCGCAGAATCTATATCCGGTGGTCTCTCTATAACATCAGCATATGCAGGAAAGAAAAAAAAGAGATGAATAAACGTGTTTAAACATCAGAAATTTCCGATTTATAACAGTCCATTAAGTTTACTGTTTTAATTTCTGCCTCATAGAAGCCTTTTTTATTCTAGTCCGAGGGCCGATCTTCCTGCAAGGGTCCCGCGTCTAGGGGACGTATGGGGCATCCGGCATTGTGTGGACATCGGAGGACGATTTTTAATAAAAGCACGATCTTGAACGTGTCTGGAATGTATTATGTATCGCGACGCATCTAAAGATTTGAACAGCCTTTATCTACATCATTTTAAGAATTTTAAAAAATATTTCTTATACAATGATATTATAATTATTTTTTAGATCAGCTAATTCGGATCGCCTGCCGTATGCCCATTCCGGTTCGACTATTTATCTCGATGACCTCGATAAACAATCGAAGATTTTTGGATAGTTTGCATGTCCAAAATCATTGAATAAGTAAACTATGCACTTTGCTTTCTTGGCTCTTTATGATAGTTGATATCCTGTATGAATGATGTAGGTACTAGAGGCGACCCCTACGTCTTTTTTGTTTAAGTAAAAACTCAAAACAAAAAACTTCAAGTTCAAAATGCATACGTATGAATGGCAAGATGATAAATTTAAGTTATCAGACGATAATGTATTTAATTAATGATTGATTAAACAATGATCATCGATAAAATTATTGTTGATTATAATAATTATTTATACGTCGAATTATTAATATGTCGTTGCTAGGTGTGGTCGCGTTGTTAATACTGGTTGGAACATCGGTGAGTACAAAAAAATATTTAGCTTATTGTTTTGATGGTCGCCATAGATAATACAAATAATTTTTATGATAACTAAAAATAAATATGGCCACTTCTTCAAAAGGCGCTCGTCGCGTCGTTTACATAATTTATCAACTTCATTGATAACAAACATTAAAATTCATCGCTATGGCTCACAAAATATTTTTCTATTTATTTAACTGATGTTTACCAAAGCTCTTTTCGTACCCCAGCGATATTCTGTATACCTCAGTACATAAAAAAATGCAGGTAAAACTATGCTTCATAGTTTCTCCTGACAGTATTTTTGTTATAGTACCGTACGCTTTATGTTACGTCAGACATGTCGCGATAGGGCATTGAGTTTTAGATCGTATTTTTTGAAGTGCGCACTATTGTTGCGAAGTTTTGTAATTTTTGTATACAAACTACAAAGAATATAAGTTCTACATGTAGGTAATCTATGCTCCTGAACGTGCTATTACTAAAAACTACTTAATCGATATACTTAGTTTTAACATATTTTTAGGTGGCTCACTGAATTTGGCCCCCTTTTTTTGATTTTTTTAAATTATTTGTTCGTTGTTTGTTCGTTAATGTTCGAATGTAAAAATTGTTGTTCGTCTTTTATTTATTTATAACTACCTAATTAAATAAATGATCACCCTTAAGTTGCCCCCTCTTGCTAGATATCTTTATTTTTATCGCTCAGATTAATTAATTTTGATCAATTATCGTTTGTTCGACGACTATTGGTGATTGTTCGATCATAAAAACAATTAAATTCCCAATTATTAATTATTTTATATCTATTATGCAAACCATCACCTCACGTCTTTAACGCGCATGCGCCGGTTTTTTCAGTCAGCCGTATTTACTAGAGTTTTGTTAACAAGTGTGTTTTTATACTAGAGATGAAACGGATCGTGGTTTGGCCGGATACCGGATACCGAATATTCGGCTAGCTGCGAGGCCGGAGCGCCGGATATTCGGTCGGATTAATTAATCTGAGCGATAAAAATAAACATATCTAGTAAGGGGGGCAACTTAAAGGTGATCATTTGTTTAGTTAATTATAAATGAATAAAAGACTAGCAAACAATTTTTACATTCGAACATTAACAAACAAACGACGAACAAATAAATAAGAATAAAAAAAGTTCGAAAATCAAAAAAAGGGGGCCAAATTCATTGAGCTTTTTTAGTTGTGGTCTTCGATCAACAGTTACAATTGTTGATCGAAGGTTGTGGTTAAGCGGAAATGGGCTTCATAGATTATAAAAACATATACCGTAAAATGGGGCGATTCGGGACAAATTCCAACTTTATGAGCAATTTTAAGGTAGTTGTTGATGTATATAATGCTATATCAGGATCAAAATGATTGAGTCTTGGGGGCATCTTTGTTGTCTAATTTAAAATTATGCAACTAGCATTCCAGTTTAAGCAAAAAATGCAAAAATAGGTGTAATTCCTATTTACCCGAAAATTGCGGTTAATTGGGACGAAATGAGAAATTTGCTAGGGTTGGCACTACTTTTATTTTTATATATAGTTTTAATTTATTTATTTATTTAGTTGCACCAACAAAGTGATCATCAATAAAAAAAATTGAAAAACTGACAAAAGTACATGGCAAACATCACCTCAATTATAGGTGCAATCGACAGTGCTGATATTTCTATCTGGGTTAAGAGATTAGGTGTGTCGGTTATTCCATGGATTAATCAGATGAATACCCCCACTCTGAACAAATATTAAATATTTTATTATGTATTACTTAGACATTTTTGTCCACCTTGAGATTTCATTGATCTTGTTACATGTCTCTGCAAAATCGACTTACTTATATTAAATTGCTTATCTATTTCAACTAAAGACTTATTCCCAATTTCGCTTCGAATAAACCAGATTTTTACCAACAAATTTAAAAAATATTGTTATAACTACATAGACAACCCTACAAACCTGTACCTATTTATACTTAGGTCGTTTCCATTTCACGTATTCTCATCCCAATTGACCCCTTTTTCGTTGTTATTTGTACCTAAGACGTCCCCAATATCCCCAAAAACAACAGATTTTTACATGTATTTTTATTTAATCAAATACATTAAAACCAATAACAACTGAGACTTACCTTTAATATATATGCTGGTTCAAACACTAAATAACGTTTATAAATCATAGTCGTCTTCTATTATTATCAAATAAATAAAAGAGAGCAAAGTTTCTAGCACTAAAATAATTACCACCACAGGAAGTTAATTTGAAACGCGATTTTTTATAAGTTAGCAGCTATTATCATGCATATTCAGAGTTGTTTTGTGAACTTTCAACATTCTACTATTAAACTACAAAAAATGGAAGATTTTGCAACGAATATAAAACTTATATTGAGCGTCGAAAGATTTTCCCGGTTTTTTCCCGATTCGCCTTTCAATCCCTAATCGCCCCATTTTACCGGTATGTACATTTAACATGGACATTTAATCCATGAAGCAAGCATCTAGCACTTTTGGCGGGAGCGGGACATACGAAGCTGCTTAAATTAGGTACCTAATATTTTGAAGATTAATAATTTAATTTTGAATATTTAATTAAAGAAGCGTCGATTCTTAACAGCTTAGAAATTATTTTATGTGTGTTTCTAAAATATTTTTAAATGAAGATTTTTGATCTTGATCGTAATGGCCCGATGGCGTAGCATCAGAAAAAATAAGAAGAAGTATCTATGTCAATAAAATCTTTTGTTCACTTTGGTCAAGACATGCGATACGTACCTACTTAATTGAGTATGGAAAAAAATGTATAATATGGATAATATTTTATTTTCGATTTTCAGGTTTCAGCTGAGCAATCGCTATCTCAAAAAGGTAACATCTGTTTATTACTTTAGCGACATACGGCAGCGCTGGGTCCCCGACCGTGTTGACATCCATGCGTTAGGGTAACTTACCATCAGGTGAGCCGCATGCTGGCCCGCACACGAAGACATTTAAAAAAAGATTGCTGATATGTACTGTTTTCTCCAAAAGATTTCGTGTTGTAGGAAATTATCGATACCGTCATATAAATACGTAGCCGACGTATAAACATCTACGAATTGTTGTGGTGTTTACACGTCATTACGGATCCTCCCGATCCATTAACGGTGCTTTTAGGTACCACAAGCACCGGTCACCGTCCTCGTCGAACCCGTCGCTTGCGACGAAGGACTCGACGAGTAAATAAACCCACAGACACAGCCCCCCGAGTTTCTCGCCGGATCTTCTCAGTGGGTTTCCGATCCGGTGGCAGATTCTACGATGCACGGCTCTTGCTAGGGCCAGTGTTAGCATCACTCCGGCTTGAGCCCCGTGAGTTCACCTACTAGTTAAGGTGAAGCTGAAATAGCCTCTCAAGGCTATCAGCATAGGTAGGAAAAAAAAGGAAAAAAGAAGCAGCTGTTAGTACTATAATATAGAATGCTCCCGTTATGCGGCCACGTGTTGTCATAGTTTTATAATTATTATGGATCTTTATTTCAGGAGAAAAAAAATAAATAACAATTAGTAAGTTATTACTTATAATCTATGTTAGTAACGTAACCAGCTAACACATAGGTAACTAACAGACTATTCATTACATTTCTTTATGTTTTTAATTTTTTTTTAATATACCCTTAAAAATCGTATTACGTAATATAATAACGTAAAGTTCTGTCTAGTCCACTTCTACGTAATCAAGTAATACTAGATTTTAATATACTGATATTTGAACTGTCGTGCCAAAAATATAATCTTAATTTTCATTGCCAAAAGTCGGTTTTTGCCGGTTTTTGCCGGTTCGACGCCAGTTCGACGAGGACGGTGACCGGTGCAGCCGCTTCTTAATCGTTTCACTCTTTATATACTTGAAATAGTTGTGATATTTATGGAGCCCTGGAGGAGGCAGGTTTACGTCTTACGTTCCCCCACCGTCACTCCTCGCTCGAGGCCATTTTGCTGCACTAATTTTAAAGATATTTAGTAGATTGCTGCCTTAAAGCTGTGCAGGTGGTGGATCAGTCGCGTTTTTGTTTCCAGCCGGTTCTAGGATCGTGTCAGGATGGGAAGCCCGCGATGGGCAGTTCCCTTACATGCTGTACCTCCGTTCCGTGGATGTCCACGGGCGCATTTCCGCCTGCGGGGGCTCCATCATCCACCACAAGTGGGGCATGACGTCTGCTAGATGCATCGCCAGGTGTGCTCACAAAATCTGTTGATTCCCGTGGCTTGATAAGTTTTAACTCGTCAAAACAAATAAACAAGTTGTGAAAAGTAAAATTTCTAAGTTACTTTCGGAACTTATGGACATCCCGATGATTAGTAACGGGAGTTGTTGATGCAATTCTAAGATGTAAGCTTCGATTTTTGGGAGATATTTATAAGTGGAAAATGTTCGATCGATCGGTTTAAGTATCTTTGTGGATCGGCGGTCCGTGATTTATTGTTCAGAATATATTGAAACTCATTTTGATATACCTAGTGTTTGTGTGATAGTGTTATATAGACTCTCTGTTGCGACCGCCCTGAGAGAAGCCGAAAACCGAAGCAAATGGAAGCTGATGGTACAAAGAGCCACGAAAGACTTTCAGGGACACAGTCTTCAGGAATGAAGTATTCGACTAAGAAGAAGAAGTGATAGTTAGTGTGATTAAGAGATTTATCAAAAATCTTAGGTTTTTTTTTCCTACCTAAGCTGGTTACGTAGAGGGTTTATGCCAGTGTAACCGGGTGAGCTCACGCGGCTCTAACGTGCGCGTTTGGGATGATATGGACATGTGATGAGACGAAATGACAATGATGTTGCTATGAACGTTTTAACTATGAATGTGAAAGGCTTTAGAGGAAGAGGTAGACCTAAGAAAAAAAGTATGAATTAATTGAAAGACGATATGTGTAAGAGGGGAGTGAGTGAAAAAATGGTAGATGATAGAGGAGTATGGAAGGGGAAAACATGTTGCGCCGACCCCAGGTGACTGGGAGAAGGACAGGGGAATGGTGATGTAGGTACAGATGTGCTTAAGTAATTATTCACGTATGACCTCCATTAAGAACAATGTCGTAATAAAAATAATAACACAACACACAACGACGCAAGCACTATGATTTGCGTAATTACTAGTGGTAGATACCAACGCCCTCCCCATTACTGCCACGAAGCAGTAATGCGTTTCGTTTCGAAGGCCGAGACAGCTGTTAGACTTCATATCTCAGGGTGGTATTAACGTGGTGATGTCCACTGGCACAGGGACAAAACACCAGAACACCAAGCGGTGGGTATGGTCATTCATATTTTTTATTTTTTTTATTCTTTATTAGAGCCATACATACACCTATTAGGTTAAGTCGGCTAATGTCATTCATCTAAGCAATAAAAAAAAAACTAATCAAATAAAACTTGGTCCATGACCGCTGTCTTATTTCAGACGCGTAGTGATTATGCTCTGGGCGGGAATGGTGGACCTGAGCCGGCCCCGCGTCTACATCGAGACCGCTTCATACTTCACGGCCCCCGAGTACATGGATGACCTGCATCAACTCACCCAACCGCACGACATCGGGCTGGTTGGGTTCAATCGGCATCTTGAATACAGTCGTGAGTAGCTTTGGTGGTTCTAAAACTGACGATCACAATGTACGTATCCAGTGAGAGCTGGATAATCAAGTGCGATGGAAAGAGACTGCAGCATAGATAAAAAATAACCAAAAAGTTCGTTCCCAATTTTGATAATGGGTCTGTTAGCTTTTTTCTTCTTGGATAGATGGGCGGACGAGCTCACAGCTCACCTTAAGTATGTCCAGTGGAGCCCATAGACATCTAAAAGTAAATGCCACCACCCACCTTGAGATATGAGTTCTAAGGTCTCAGTATAGTTACAACGGCTGCCCCACCCTTCAAACCGAAACGCATTAAGTACTGCTTCACGGCAGAAATACGCGGGGTGGTGGTACCTACGCTTGCGGACTCACAAGAGGTCCTACCGCCAGTAATCACGTAAATTATAATTTTGCGGGTTTGATTTTTATTACACGATGTTATTCCTTCACCGTGGAAGCCATCGTGAACATTTGTTAAGTACGTATTTCGTACACGTGGATACCAAAGGGCTGATGAAGATGATGATTAGAATCTTTTGTAACATTCCAGAATTCATTCAGCCCATCAGATTGATGCGTTCCGCTGATATGAACAAGGAGTACGCGGGTGTGAAGATGACGACCAGTGGCTGGGGTACAGACTGGACGAACGGTGAGGGTTCCGCCTCTTCAAGTGTCATCTTAGTTTGGTCATGTGTCGCCGAACACGTCGTTTGCGACGAAGGGCTCGACGAGTAAATTACCCCGAGACACAGCCCACTGAGTTTCTCCCCGAATCTTCTCAGGGGGTCGCGTTTCCGATCCGGTGATAGATTCTGCGAAGCACTGCTCTTGCTATGGCCAGTTTTAGCAACACTCCTGGTTTGAGTCCCGTGACCTCACTTACACGTCAAGGCGAAGCCGAAATAGTCTCTCAAGGCTATCAGAATAGGTAGGAAAAAAATTTTGGGCATGCGGAAATGGGTTATGAGTTCGCGGATGACTCTTTGTTAAGCGGTTACCAGAGTCTATAGACATCAACACGTGTGACCACCATCTGCCTTGGACCAATCTATAATATTGTTTAATGCTCGCCCTATCTTCCAAATCAGAACACATGACTGCGTGCCAATTAGTGCGCTGACATAATACTCCAAGAATCCTGCGGTCATAGTAAATACCTTAGTCCATGATACCCTGGAGAAGAAATGGGGTGGTGCTAGGTCAACACCTGAAATCGAACGTAAGGATCACTAAGGCAGCTAGTTTCCTGATGGAAGGGCGTAACGTAAGCCCACAATACCGCCACACTATCTCAGCAGCCATACAATGCAGTTGAGACTTCGACGTTATAATAGGTAGAAAGGTAGAATATTAATTAGGTAATATGACGTTAGTCTTACTGTCTACCACCAGATTTGCTATGCACTACAAAATATTTCACGAATCAAGTATAATTTCAACAAAAAACTTCATTCTTTCCATTAAACACATACCTAGTCAGGTCATAAATTCTGTCACATGTTTAATGTAAAATAATTGAAACAAGTTTATTCATTATGTAACCATTCATATACCAAAATGAACTTAACAAAACATAGATTCTTATGACACTAAAGTTTATTCAAAATGACCTCCGTGATTTTGAATACAGGCCTTGAATCTGCGCGGCCAGTCGTCTATCGCAGCACGAACGAGGTCCATGTCAATATCGGCGGCTGCCTTAATCAAGGATGTCTTGAGTGACTCCAAATTGGGATGAGGCTTTGAGCACGCCTTTTCCTCCAAGTGTTGCCATATCTTGTAATCTAACGGATTCAAATCTGGACTGGAGGAGGGCCAGTCTTCGTGCCGGATGAAGTCGATTTCACGCGCCGCCAGCCAGTCTTGTGTGCTCTTCGCTCTATGAGCTGGCGCCGAATCTTGTTGGAATACCCAGTGCCTGTTATTGAACATGGTATGAGAAACAGGTTCCACAAGGTTCGTCAGGACTGTATTTTGATACACAACTGCATTCGTTTTTACACCTTTCTCACAAAAATGTACCTCTGTTAAGCCCCAATAAGAAACTCCCAACCATACCATGAGCGAGGATGGAAAATGACCTCGTTGGACACGCGGAATACGGTTGCTCGCTTCTTCACTACTGTGTGCGTACACCTTATCATTTTGTTTGTTGTAGCTCTCTTCTACGGTAAAAATTTTTTCATCCGAAAAAAGAATTTCCCGATATTTTTTTCCCGCGTACCGCTTCAACAAAGCGCGGCATCTCTTCAGTCTCAGGTCCATTAGACGAGCATTCAAACGATGTCCTGTTTTTCTTCGATATGCCCGAAGCCCTAAGTCTTCATTTAACACCCTTTTCACCGTGGTTCTGCTTAACCCCATCTGAAGGGCCAACAGTTTCTGCTTACGTTTGGGATTTCTTTGAATTCGCGCCTTCACAGCTTTTATCACTGCTGGAGTCCTAACAGACCGAGGGCGACCACTTCTTGACCTGTCATCTACACTAGAGTCTTCATTGTATCGTTTGATGGTACGATAAACGAATCTTTTGGTTATATTCAAATTTTTCAGTATGTTAAAAATTTGAATTGGCGCGTAACCGCAACGATGCAACGCAATAACTGCAACACGGTCTTCTTTAAGCGTCCACTCCATATTTAAAAATGAGTAAAATTCTAAAAGTATACATTTTTATTTTCATGAACAATTCGAAATTCGAATTCAATAAACTTTTTTGTGGCCAGCATTCTAAAAGAAAAGTTTTTACTGTGTGACAATACTTATGACCTGACTAGGTATGTTTTAAATCGCACTGACATATTATGTCATATCTATCCACGACAAAATACAACCTTCATTATAGTGACCGAGGAAACCACATGGTTCACATAAGCAAACACATCACAATTCTCGTTTAACATTTCGTAAACCCTGTAACGTATTGGGAAGGTCAGATGTCTGATTTATGCGGCTTTCCGAGGTCCTCGACCCCGCGCATCAGCTGACTTCGATACGCAGCGTTGAAACATCCAAAGAACTGTTAAAAGTGAGACCTTACAACTCATGTCTCAGTTGGTTGGCGGCATTTACGTTGTAGATGTCTATGGGCTCCGGTAACCACTTAAAACCAGGTCGGCCGTGAGCTCGTCCAACAAAGTAAGCAATAAAAAAAAAATGCACCACTTTTTTTTCATCTAATGTTCTTCTTTGTTTGCTTCAGTAATAATGGAGGTCTATTTATGTTTGAAACAGGGAACCCTACGCAAATATTAAACTTCGTGTACCTGAGGGGAGTGAATAACTTCGTGTGCGCGCTTTGGTTACAAAGCTCGTTCCACGTGAGGGAGTCCACCATTTGCGCCGGTCCATACAACGTTACGAGTCAAGGGATATGTTCGGTGGGTTTTTTTATTTTTTTATTGCTTAGAAGTTGTGGACGAGCTCACAGCCCACCTGGTGTTAAGTGGTTACTGGAGCCCATAGACATCCACAACGTAAATGCGCCACCCACCTTGAGATGCAAGTTCTAAGGTCTCAAGTATAGTTACAACGGCTGCTCCACCCTTCTAACCGAAACGCATTACTGCTTCACGGCAGAAATAGGCAGGGTGGTGGTACCCACCCGCGCGGACTCACAAGAAGTCCTACCACCAGTAATAAACGGTTCACGTTGGTTCTTGGAGCAGTATTGGCACCGGCAGATCTGTATTCAGTGAGGCTTGGATACTATGGAGCCAATGGACTGCAATCGGACTTCCTACAGCCCCTTAGTGCTCAGACTTTCCTGCATAAAAATAAATAAAGCTGGTTTGAAATATAAAGTATCTTCCAAAAAAAAGTGTTCGAAAGGGGGTAGTTAGTAAAACAGAATACATTGAAACTTACTTTAGAGTGACATTTCGAAACGATAATTTAGGCAGCGGTTTGGCTGTGCCCCTGGCATTGCTGACGTCCATGGGCGACGGTTACCACTCACCATAATGTGGCCGAGGGCCGTATGCACGTCTGCCTATAAAAAAAAACTGCTTAGTTATTTTATAATATTGAATGGAGTTCGAATGTGTTTATATGTGAGAATTGAGCTGCTTTCCGACGGACATTCAAATTGAAGGTTCGACCTCATGCCTCAAGAGGTCGCAACCACGTTCTGTCCAGTAGGAGCTTAATGGAAGGTACTAAGAGATGGTTTACACAAGCATAAGGTACGAGTCTCTGCAAGCTTTTTTTTTTATTGCTTAGTGGGATGGTCGAGCTCACAGCCCACCTGGTGTTAAGTGGTTACTGCAGCCCATAGACATCTACAACGTAAATGCGCCACCCACCTTGAAATATAAGTTCTAAGGTCTCAGTATAGTTACAACAGCTGCCCCACTCTTCAAACCGAAACGCATTTCTGCTTCACGGCAGAAATAGGCGGGGCGGTTGTACCTACCCTTGCGGACTCACAAGAGGTCCTACCACCAGTAATTACGCAAATTATAAGTTTGCGGGTTTGATTTTTATTACACGATCTTATTCCTTCACCGTGGAAGTCGATCGTGAACATTTGTTGAGTACGTATTTCATTAGAGAAATTGGTACCCGCCTGCGGGATTCGAACACCGGTGCATCGCTACATACGAATGCACCGGACGTCTTATCCTTTAGGCCACGACGACTATGATTATGATAGCTTATGATGAGAGGCATGTGACTTGTTCAGGGCGACAGCGGCGTGCCCCTGATCCTATTGGAGGAGGATGGCCAGCTCACCCAGGTCGGAGTCGGCTCGTTCGTCTCATCGTTCGGGTGCCACGTCGGTCTACCTAATGGTATGCAGATCATATCTATTGATGTAGATAGACCAAAACCAGAGAGCTTAACATTTGAGTGCCACCACTTACCCCGAAACATCAGATGGAAGACGCAAGCGGAATCAGCTGCGAAGATGCGTGGGCGAGCTCACAGCCCACCTGGTGTTAAGTGGTTACTGGAGCCCGTAGATATCTAAAATGTAAATTCCGCCACCCACCTTGAGATATAAGTTCTAAGGTCTCAGTCTGGAACCTCTGGGTCCGCGGAGGGACTTCGGTTCCCTCTGTATTTTGTACCGTATGTTCCATGAGGAGTACTCTGAGGAATTGTTTGAGATGATCCCCTCATCTCCTTTTTATCCACAGTGCGTTTCCAGAGGACTTTTTTGCCACGTACCATCCGGCTATGGAATGAGCTCCCCTCTACGGTGCTTCCCGAGCGCTATGACATGTCCTTCTGTAAACGAGGCTTGTGGAGATTATTAAGCCATAGGCAGCGGCTCGGCTCTGTCCCTGGCATTGCTGAAGTCCATGGGCGACGGTAACCACTCACCATCAGGTGGGCCGTATGCTCGTCTGCCTACAAGGGCAATAAAAATAAAATTGTATAGAACAACGGCTGCCCTACCTTTTAAATTACTGCTTCACGTCAGAAATAGGCGGGGCGGTTGTAACTAATCGTGCGGAATCACTAGAGTTCCTACCACCAGTAAGCACAAGACGTCTTATCACCAGTAAACTATTGTATCTGTATTAAAAATAAATAATAGTTTAATAAAAGTAACAAAATACTAATATCATTTTTTCTTACACTATTTTTAATTGAAATTTATTAAAATTTATTTTCTATTTTTTACTTGAATTTTTTATAAAAGCGTATTTTGTTAGTTTGTTTAAACTATTATTTACTAGCTTCGGAAACTGTAATTTATTATTGATTTCTCCACTATTTAATGGATGTTTATATACATATATATCTTCCTCTTCAATCACTATCTATTAAAAAAAAACCTGCATCAAAATCCGTTGCGTAGTTGTAAAGATTTAAGCATACATAGGGACAGATATAGGGACAGAGAAAGCGACTTTGTTTTATACTATGTAGTGATTTTTCATTTTTTAGTTGAATTTCATTTTTTTTTATTTTTTTATGTTGATTTGTCATCGGTCCTTAATAAGTATACCAAATTTCGAGTTAATCCGACGTTTTGAAGGGGGTCAAAATCATGTTCAAAGATTCCGTTACATACTAACATACATACATACGTCTGAAGCTAATAACGTATTAATAAGTGCTCTCTGTTCCAGCGTTCGTGAGGCCGGGCCATTATCACGACTGGATCCGCGCGGTCACCGGCATCCAGTTCGACTGGTGAATGGGAGCGTCCTTGGAAATGCCGACATCGCGGTCCATGGACAGCAGTAGCGGGACTCGATCGGTGGCTTTTAACGAAAAGCGTCGAATTAAATTTAATTAAAACACGTAACAGTTGTTTTAATTTAAAATTAAAATTACTTTTAGATTAATTACTTTAAGATTTTTAATCGCAAGTTTGTTTTAGTGATACTTTACAGTTTTTGTGGTCACAAATGACTGAGGTGTTGATTTTTTCGTTGACATTTCAATATTGTCCCGACTATCGTCTGTTTTCCTATAAAAATAATGCATTTGTACACTTTTACGTAAATAAATAAATAAATATATACATAGAAGTAAACAAAATAGACATATTACTGATCTCAGAAACACATTTCACCAAGATAAGTTAGTTACTTCAATATGCCAAATTATTTATTTATTTAATTAATTATTTATTTGTTTAGACACACCAAGAGCAATACAAGCTTAAAATTAACAAGTATAAAATTAAGTACTGGTATGTAAGCCAGTTACAGGCATGTACAGCAATTTTAGTTAAATTTAAATGTCAACAGTACGACCTATGAAAAAAAAATTTTTTGAAAGAGCATGAAAACAAGAGTTAACATTCTCTCATCAATTATAAACAAAGAAACTTGGATACTAGTTTGTTTTTGAGACCAGCAGGACGGACATGTGTCGTAAAAATGTCGATAAAAGTCAAAGTCAAGTCATCGTGGGCGAAAGGATAAGACGTCCAGTGCATTCGAGTTGAGCGATGAAGGGTGGGGCAGCCGTTGTAACTATACTTGACCTTAGAACTTATATCTCAAGCCTCGAGATATAAGTTCTAAGTCGCATTTACGTTGTAGATGTCTATAGGCTCCAGTAACCACTTAACACCAGGTGGGCTGTGAGCTCATCCACACATATAAGCAATAAATAAAAAATATTGAAATTATAAAGTCTATCACACAATGCACCCAGAAGGCCATTGGTCGAAGTGCAATTATAATCAGAAGCAGCGGTGGATTTACATTAAGGGGTGCCGGGGCAAGTGCTCAGGGCGGCAAATAATTTTGGGGCGGAAAATTTTTTAAAGTAAAAAAAAAATTATAATTGTTAGAAAAAAAAACAAATATTTATTTATGTTTTTGGAATATATAATAAATTTTCTGCAATAAATTATAACAGTTATATTAATTTTGAAAAGTAAAATATATAAACGTATAAATATATAACTTATATATTATATAAATATGTAGATGACTTTAAGTAAAATTTCACTATTGAGGCGGCTTTTTTTCCGGTACCCAGGAGCGGCATTAAGTTTAAATCCGGCCCTGATCAGAAGTAACATCAAGCACTATGAAGAATCTCATTACTGTACCTATATTATTCAGGCAACAAACATCGTTGTTCAGGACTGGGCGGGACCTATTACCGTATCGCCCCTTTACAGCCCTCCAAAACATAATATTAAGAACTAACGACCCGCCCTCGCTTCGCTTCGGAAACAAAACACACATGAAAGTAAAAAAAAAAAAAAAAAAAAAAAAGTAGCCTATGTTCATCAGGGACAATGTCGGCTTCTAATGGAAAAAGAATTTTTCAAATCGGTCCAGTAGTTTCGGAGCCTATTCGAAACAAACAAACAAACAAATCTTTCCTCTTTATAATATTATATAGTATAGATGAAGATTATGAAAAGTTTTTTTTATTAAGGAATTAGGACATAGGTTTAGACATGACTGGTGGAGACTGTAAATTAATGTTAAGCATACAAGCTGGGTGTCTCCGATTTTTCATTTTTATTTTTTGTTTAGAAGTTTTTATGAGTTCTAAGGTTTCAAGTATAGTTACAACGGCTGCCCCACCCTTCAAACCGAAACGCATTACCGCTTCACGGCAGAAATAGGCAGGGCGGTGGTACCTACCCGCGCGGACTCACAAGGGGTCCTACCACCAGTTAAAATTATTAACTAATTATTTACTTATTTATGAACTTATTATTAACTAACAATTCATTTAATTATTTTTTTACACGGTCCAGAAAGAGATTACGTTGATGACGTAAATGACGGGCGTCATCAGCTTAAGTTAATCACACGTCACTATAAATAAGTCAATCTATATTTATAAACGACTTTCAAAGATTCAATGTCATACAAGCATACGTAGATCGGTCACGTGTACCGGACACGGTGGGGTCGTGCATCGGTTCCCGGTCGTGCGCGGTGTTCCACAGGGGTCGGTACTCGGCCCTCTTTTGTGGAATATCGGGTATGACTGGGTGCTGAGGGGTGCCCTCCTCCCGGGCCTAAGCGTAATCTGTTACGCAGACGACACGCTGGTCGTGGCCCGGGGAGGGAGCTTTGCTGAGTCTGNTTATTGATAAAAAGATAACAATGATCTGATAATATATATGTAAATCAGATAAAATCTTGTAATTAATTTTACTTAAAATGTAAATTCTGGACAGCTACGGCGAGGAATGATAATTTGCACAGATACAATAATAGTGTTAAAGTTTCAATAATTATGTCAAAAATATTTCTAAGTCAAATCAAATGACGTATATCGTATGTTTAGTATATGGAGTATAGAACTAAGGAGTAATATCTTTTTGTTTTTATTGCTTAGGTGGGTGGACGATCTCACAGCCCACCTGGTGTTAAGTGGTTACTGGAGCCCATAGACATCTACAACGTAAATGCGCCACCCACCTTGAGATATAAGTTCTAAGGTCTCAGTATAGTTACAACGGCTGCCCCACCCTTCAAACCGAAACACATTACTGCTTCACGGTAGAAATGGGCAGGGTGGTGGTACCTACCCGCGCGGTCTCCCAAGAGGTCCTAGCACCAGTAATTACGCAAATTATAATTAGCCTGATTTTGATTTTTATTACACGATGTTATTCCTTCACCGTGGAAGTAAATCGTGATCATTTGTTGAGTACGTATTTCATTAGAAAATATTGACACCTGCCTGAGATTCGAACAACAGTGCATCGCTCAACTCGAATGCACCGGACGTCTTATCCTTTAGGCTACGACGACTTCAAAGTTAAAAAACGTTCGCTGAAAGGAAGCCAATTAAGGTGGCGCCATAATAGCAAGGGGAAAGATTTAAAAAACAGTGCCATAAACTACCACACTTCACTTCAATCCAGCAGCTCGTCGCGCTCGAGGACCGCCACCCCGGAGGTCAAAAAGATTGTCTTATGTCTCCGCACCGTCTACAACCACCGACTGACCAGCCAGTGTCAGAGATACCAACTTTACGGGCACTCGTCGCGCAATTTTCACGCGCGCCCCCGTTGCGTAGTGTCTGGGTGACCACGCGACCGCCGATTGCTTGCGCGTCAAGAAGACCGCGGCCAAGCCCCGAGCTGCGTCCTCTGCTGAAAGCAAGGGCACACGGCCAACTACAGCGGATGGCTTAAGGCTCCGCGACAGCACTCGGCCCAAGACTTCGGCATCTTGTGCACCAGGCTTCGTACCGGCAACGGTGCTCACCGTGTCAGCGTGGGCAAAACCAATGCCAAACATAAAAATATGCCATCCGCACCCCAGCTCCTGCTCGCGCCTCACCCCGCGCCCGCGTACATTCTGCCTCAAACCGCTGCCGACAGCGACTTCGGTGCCGCGGTCAACTTCGACCGACTGCGCTCATTCGCGGACGCACTCCGCAGGTTGGTGACGCCCCAACAACGGCTCGAGGCCGCGTTTGACCACATTCTTCATTCACAAAACGAGTTCTTTTCCCGCACCCGCTTTTAAAAGCCGGTAGTCAATGGCGCACAACGGACGTTTAAAGCCGTTTTCATTCAAGCTAGCATTCTGCAATGCTTACGCTATCGCGCGGCAACGTGACCCAATCTATGAATTCCTTTGCGATAATCAGATTGACCTGTTTTTGGTGCAGAAAATCAGCCTTAAGCCCTCGGGTTGAGACCCGAAAGTCGCGAGATACGTTATAGTTAGGAATGACAGACTCACCGCTCATAAGAGCGGGACTGCCATTTACTATATAGGTGGGCCCTGCACTGCGTCTCCTCGATACCCCTCATATGGAGACGTTAGTGTGCCGCAACGCGCTGACGGGACACCAGCCGATCGTCATCGCATCCGTATACCTCCCCCTCGACAAGCCCCTCCTGAACAGTGACATCGAGACACTGCTTGGCATGGGTGACGCTGTCATTCTGGCAGGCGATTTAAATTGCCACCACACTAGGTGGAACTGCCATTGGATAAACGTGAATGGCAGACGTCTCGACGTATTTATAGAGGTCCTCACTTTCGACATCGTCGGCCCTCCAACCCCAGTATGCTATCCGTATAGCATCGCGCTCTCTCCGAGCACTATAGACTTGGCACTGCTTAGGAATGTAGCTCTGCGCTTGCCCTCCATCGAGGCACTGTCAGAGCTCGACTCAGACCACTGACATGTCGTTATGCAGCTCGGTGGCCCCCACAACCCAGGCATAGTCACGAGGACCATGGTGGATTGGAAGAAGTTGAGCACCAGCTTAGCCGAAGCCGCTCCACCAATCCCTTCCTCCCACTCCTCTGCGGCCCGGATTTTACACTGTCCCTCAAGGACACCGTCGAATCCATACTGAGCACGTATGTTCCGCGATCATAAGATCTTCCAAAGAGGTCATTGTGGAGGACTGCTTCCACCGCATCAAACTCTCCCCCGAGCTTAGGAATCTCTTAAGAGAGAGAAACACGGTAATCTGGGGCTATGATTGTTATCCCACGGAATCAAACCGGATTCGGATGCGTTATCTACAGCGGAAGTCAAATCTCGCCTAAACGACGCCCGAAATGAGGAACGGGATAGTTATTTAGAAGAACTCGTGCCCTCTCACCAAGCATACTGGCGACTAGCTAAGACCCTCAAGTCCGAAACTATCGTTACACCTTGCTCACCATACGAGACTACTTGTCGAAACGCTCGTTCCGATATCGAGTTGAGGGAACTCACTCTCGTCCTCGTCATCTAACGGCCGGAGTCCCGCAAGGCTCCACGCTCTCCCCCTTACTGTTTAGTTTGTATATCAATGATATACCCTGGTCTCCGGAGACCCATCTAGCTCTCTTCGCCAGTGGTACGGCTATCTACGACTCGTGTATGAAGAAGTCGTTATTGCATCTCCATCGGCGACTCCAGATCGCAGCAACCACCAAGGGGGAGTAATTCCGGAAGTGGCTCATTGCCATCAACCTCACGAAAAGCACAACGGTGCTCTTCAAAAAGGGTCACCCTCCGAATACCTCTTCGCGCAGCTCATTCCCAGATAGGCGCGTAAATACCTCCGCCATTCGCCCCATTACTCTTGTCGGCAAGCCCATACCGTGGGCCTCGAAGGTCAAATATCACCCTCGACAGAGGGATGACATTCAGCCTCCACATTAAGTCGGTACGAGACCGAACCGCGTTCATATTTGGACGCCTCTATTCCATGATTTGCAAGCGAAGTAAATTGTCTTTTCGTTATAAGGTGACACTGTACAAAACATGCATACCTCCGGTTATTACCTAGTGGTCGTGGAAGTGTAGTGTTCGCTACATCTGCTATATTCATATCATTTTCACTTCCTACACTAGCGCTATTTCGGTGAGTTTTCCAACAATAGCTTTCTATTTATTTACAGATGGACACTTTTTCAACTTGTCCCCTATACAAAATGGTGCTCTCTACCCTACATAGTTTGGATATTGCTCTTATTCTTAAATTTTCTATGCCCTTATCTGTGGACTAGAGCTGTTTCTTCCGTTTGAGTTCCTGCAGTGAAGAACCGTTCGAAATATCGATTTCAAACGAAGTGTTTAATCTGATATACTACTGTGTGCCCGGAAAATGCTCCGAGAAACTGGTCGGGATTATATTTGGGCGCTAGTAAAGTCTACTTTTCATTGCAGGCGATATCAGCTTCTTGCTCTACCCTCCATAGCTTACTAAGGTCAACGAACGAGATATGTAAGCAACATACTTTTTTTAATGAAAGCATTAGACGAACGAATGTGCATGGCCTGATTTATAAGATGCCCGGTGTATCAACAGATACGACCGTGCCTGGCTTTAAGCCCCATCGGCAGGTACGTTTCTTCTGCTCAAGAAATACGCATCTATAGCATTTACGTAGGTCCTCCAATAAGCCTTCGATCGGGTTTGGCATAAAGCCTTACTATCGAAGCTTCCTTCCTATGGGCTTCCTGAGAGACTTTGTAGGTGGATCGGCAGTTTCCTTGCGGAACGGAGAGTTAAAGTCGTCGTAGACGGCTCATGCTCGGACCCCCGGACCGTAAATGCTGGTGTTCCCCAAGGCTGCGTGTTATCCCCGACATTGTTCATTCTGCATATCAATGATTTGTTGCATACCAGTGGCATTCATTGCTATGCGGATGACAGTACCGTGGATGCACTGTATTTCGGCCGCAGCAATATCTCTCGGGATCACGTCGATGAGTGTCGGAACAAACTTGTGTCTGAAATCGAATCATCCCTTGTGAAGATTTCCGATTGGGGGGGACTAAATCTAGTCCAGTTTAACCCTTCTAAGACTCAAGTTTGCGCGTTTACCGCTAAAAAAGCCCCCTTTGTCGCATCGCCACTCTTCGGAAACACTCACCTTTGTGCCAAGCCGAACAT